AGCATAAGTTACTATATAGCATAGTGGAGAAAATAAGATCTCTTCCATTTGTGCCGTGGCGAACATGAGTTGGAGTTTAAGTACTGCCAACAACACCTGACAGTAGCACCCTATTATAATTAGGTGTACAGATAGTGCGCTCAGTTGGAGTGAAAAATGGCATGGGGTCACAGGACAACTGTAATAACCTCTCCATTACCGACCAAAAATAGTTGCTTACCTACCTAGCTACTGGTACTAGCTACCACTTCAAACGGCATGATCAACATTGTGGCAAATTCTTTAGTGGCACTTTCAAATTGTGCATTTCACCAGTCCTAGTTATAAGCATGTTTTGCCAGCGTTTGTGACAGTAGTTTATGACCCATTTTGAAATTAGAGTTATCACATACAAATGACAGAATTGGTCAGTCTGACAAAAATGTGCTTAATTTATAAAAAAATGACGTTTAAATGCGAAATTTGAATTGTTTTGCTGAAAGACTATGCCCATAGCTTACCCATGATGTTGCACAACGATATAAGTCATCGTTTTAGTCAAAGTATGATAAATTCTGATATTTTCCGTGTCAATGCCGTGTTTCCCCTATGAGATGATGTGCTAATACTTTTCAGTCTACGTTTCTTTTCAGAGCTGGGTTTTATTTGAATGTTACCACCCACCAGCATGGTATTGTTTATTAATCAGAAACACCTGCAAAGTTCTACCTCTTTACGAGTCGGGAATATGCTGAGCCAAACAGCTTTTCGCCATAGCCTACCTACACATGGTCACCTGAGCCATGGAGAAAATTAAAAGAGGAGGTACAAACGTATGTTTTTGCACCTCCACTTTTTCACCAACAAATTATCATAAGCCAAGTTTCATTTATTTTTTAGCTAGTCTGTATAACAGTTTTATAAATGGTCAAATTGTGTGCGATATGATTGCATTTTGGAACCACGCAACCCCAGAGTTGAATGGTTTGACCACGCTCCACTGCTTTGATTGGTGCAGCTAGAAACCACAAGTGTCTATCCTATAATGAAAAGGCACCAGTGAAAGAAAATTCCACTAGCTTGTTTATCTGTTGTGCTGTTACATTTGTATCGGTATTGTTTCGTGTCCGATGCGCTCAGGGTGTTGTTACATATCATTTGCGGTGTATATCATTTGCGGTGTGCATCATGAGCAAAGTCATTGTAGCCCATCATTTCACTTCCACTAGCTGTGAGAACCATGGCATGAGCACGGGCTGACTTGATATTGCTGTAGTGCAGCCAAATAGCCTGCCAGCATCCTACCAATGGTTGCACCGTGTCCATTATAATGTAGAAAAACATCTAGTCCAAACCGTTCAATAGTTAGGCTATTCATATTACCGGCACTTCATCTTATTATTTATATTGCGGCTTCGCGGTCACAGTTTATGGAAGATGACAAAACTTTGGAGATAACAATAGATGGCAAAGTCAAAGATACTGGTTTCTCCTATCCATCTGTAGCAAAGTTTTCCCTAAATGTTTATGACAAATCCAGCTACAGAACCAGCCATAGCCTAGCCTAGCCAGCTGGCTAAACTTTTGAATACAGTTTAGGAAAAAAAAAAAAATTGCAACAGATAACACTAGCTACCTTGATGAGGTTAGCATGCTAGCTGCACTGACAACTGTCAGTGCCCTACTTGTTATTTCTCCACTCAACATGAAAATCACCACAACGTTTAAGCCCCCAATTCGTTAATATGCATTAGCAGCCTGTGTAATTCTTCGGAGGTGGAACCGGCATTGCCCACTGGTGGGGCCTTTAATGTATTATCTACGTATGTTTTGGTTAGAGTGAATAGGAGGATGCTGAACTCCCAACACTGGCTGACATTTGTATAACTTCCAGAGCTTGAATTTAATCAATCTATGCAATTGAACCAAAGAGTGCATTGCATGAACATGACAGACTGACTAGGAGGTTAGTTAGTTCAGGTAACAAGGGTTATTTGAAACCCATTCATTGTATGGCTGGGAGATGGACTCCCTGTCCGCGATCACCCCAACTCTTTATCATCTCTTTTTATTAATTTCTACATACTTACTTTTATAGCTTTTATTGCAGACTTGGTAATATTGGTCATTTTCGCCTTGGAGATTGGAGGCTTGTACTCATTCAGCGAGTAGAGCTGAAAGACAAAAAGCGATGGAAACAAACAGTTTAAACATATTTTGATATAATGCACAAGTGTTAAATAAGACAACACATTACTCAGGACTGAGGCTAAGACTTAAGAGGAATGGCACATATTTCATTTGTACAGTAGGCTACATAGGCCAGGGAAAGGGTGTAGTCAAAAAGTGTTTGAAGACACTTGGGGCTGTCTTTATTATGCGTACAATGAAAATTCAAGCAATAGCTTCCAGTGAACTATTTTACTGAAAAGGTAGTTAAGTGTATTGGGCATGATGCTGATCTTTTAATTCGCTGTATGTTGTCGACGGTATCTGATTTCATGGTTCATGTTATGTAATTCTACACAGGCACACCATGTCATGTGACCACATTCCCATTTGTACGTTTAAAAAAAAACTAGTTTAGTCGTGCATTATTGCTACAGATATCATAACTCGATGTGTGAATGACTGCATATCACCTACTAATGACTATGGGGACTCGTTTTGGTTTACGAATATTGACTGTCATTGTTTGGCTGCAGCAACAACCGGGCCACAACTAATACTTGACATTTACACATTTGGCAAACTGAACTGAAGAACAGACCCAGAGGCAAAGTCTGGCACATTTCTACCAACCTCAGTTATTTTGGAAGATAGAAACCAACTAGCTAACTAACTAGCTGATCAGTAAACCAGTATTGCCCCTTGCTAACTGAATTCAGACGAATGACTCAACCATTTGGCTTGAAACTATTGGGCCACACTGGCGCTCGCCCCCAATTTTTTTTTGAAACTAAATACAATAGCTTGCTAGCATGCTATTTTAGTTAACGTTACCTGCAAAGTAATACAAAGTAAGTGATTGGTTTACAGCATAATTTGTTAGCTAACTGGACACATTGCACCGGCCACCACTCGAAAACATAACAGCTAACTAGCTCACGTTTTACCAGGCCTTGCTCGCTAGCTACTGCCTGGCTAACATTGTTAGCTAACTAGCCAGCTTACCTTTACAGTTGACTGTGATAGTTAAGAAAATAGCTCGCTAACTAGTTAGTTAACGTGTAGCTAACACGTTACCTAAGTAAATTAGGGTGACGTAGTTAGCGACAGGGGTTGTTATGATTTCGAAGTTGTTCAATTGAGTTAGCTAGTTAAGGTTACTGTAGGCTAACTAAATTAGCTAGCTAGTTAAACATTCTTAGCGCACTCTACCAGATAGCAATCTAGCTAGCTAGTTACAGTTCACTGAGTTTAGCTCAGTATTGCTGACCAAATAACGGTATAGTAGCGCTTACAATGAAAATGACTAACTGCTTGATCAATATTCATGGTGGAAGCAAAACCTTGTCTACTGAAAAGATGGGGCCTTGCGTCTAGCTGCCCTTCTCCCCATTTCTGCTTGACGCTAGCTAACGTTAATCATACATCTCACTAATATTACAGTCACTTGCATTGAAATGGAGGGGAGAAATCATACAAACCTCGCCGTTGAATGCTTTGACAGCCTCCATGGTGTTGTTTTTGGGTATCGTTGTAAGCTGTAAAATGTTTATATTGTTCTCCTCAACAACTGGTTTGACGCATGCTCTACGTTAGCTTGGTGAGATGGAGGAGATTGCCAATATGGCGCACAACCCCCAATGAAATCCGAACAGCAGTACAGAGACCAGCGACCCCAAGTGTCACACACTGGCATTGCATGTCCAATGAAAGCAGCTGGCGACGACTCGTGGTCAAAAAAAGGCTCTAACACCCCGCTTGTTTATTCTAAAAAGCATCTGTCTGAAGTAAAAAAATTAATAATCCGATATTTATAATGCAGAGCATTTAAACGCTTTATTACTCTTTCGATAGTCACTTAATTAGAATTTACCAATTAAAAGACTATAGAACTGTACACACTTTATACCTATGTACAATTACAATGCTAAAACAATTTAAAATATTTACCACAGCTAAATCATATAAATTACAATTCAGGATTCATTGTTGCTGGCACAAAATGTAATGCTTACATAACGTCTCCATAAAAGCATCTTAATGTAACAGCTATCATATACAGCAATGTTGAATGATAAAATGTATCTAGCAAACCACAAAAATATCATGATCCAAATGTAACCAAGATAAAAATCTAGGTCACAAAAGTTTGTCTCAAAAGCTTACATACTGTACATTTCAAGGTAATACTTGTGCATGTCTGTTGAACTGTTTGTAAAACTATTAGAAAATAAAACCTTGTCCTATGGGTAACCGATCATGTTGCAAAATAAACACATCTACCCAATGTTCCATCATTCACTACTTGAGATAACACAAATGCAAGCAAACACAAATACTGTACACACCACAACAGAAAAAAACTGTAAATTGTTACATCTCTAAACATAAAAAGATCAATGACAACAAACAATATAAAACCATATCATTTCATCCAATCAGCCAAATGTTTGCATCAACTCCAACTTTTAAAATAAGACACTTTCCTCTTATCATGATTCCACTTAGTGGAGAGCTGCTTCTTATTGTATGTTGTTAGATAAAAATGCAGCCTGTGTCAACCTGGACTCGAGGGTAGAAGTAACATAGTAAATGTAAATCATAGAAAATGTAAATCTGTCTTCCTCCATTTAGTACGATATGTTACGTTTCATATGGTATATATTAATTTGTGGCTGTCCATCAATTTCGTATGATATGATATGAATTACAATTCGTATGATATGTTACGAATTGCAATTCGCTGTGGCTAACGTTAGCTAGGTGGCTAATGCTAACGTTAGCTAGGTGGCTAATGCTAGCTAGGCTAAGGGTTAAGGTTAGGAGTTAGGTTAAAGGGTTAGCTAACATGCTTAGTAGTTGCAGAGTAGCTAAATAGTAGCAAGTAGTTGAAAAGTTGCTAATTAGCTACAATTCTAGAGTGGTCTTTGGTGTGATTTGAAGACGCAACCTTTGGGTTGCTAGACGTTCGCGTTATACGACCACTCGTATAACATATCATGCTAATTTGAGTATCCCGGATTTACGTTTACTATGTTATGTCTAGTCTATGAGACCAGGCTGCCTGTGTACAACACTTAGTGCTACTGGGTTATGGGTAGACAATAATGGCAGTGAGTCTTATAAACAATCTGAGTAAAAGTTACCCCTAGGCACATGAACACAATCAGCTCATCCATCCCAACTCTTAACCATAAGTATTAGTGGGGGAAACTCAAAACTGACCTTAGATCAGTGTTTAGGGGCAACTTCATCCATCCTACTCCATTATAAACTGGTCTCTACAAAGGGGACTGCAATGGCATTGGCTGCTGCTGCAGAGGGCTCTACCTCTGCTGCCACCTGGTGTCCATGCTTGAGACAGATCTCCTGGAGCAGAGGTGTGTTGACTTCTTTCCATTCCCTGAATCTGGATGAGGTGGGTTCTGACAGCACCTGCTCGATGGTCAACAGGTCTGCCTCCTTTGCCTAAATCAAAGGGGAAGAGAGAAAAAGTGTGTAACTATGCTCAAGGGTCTTAATACTTGCAATACTATTCAAAATTATGCCTAAACAGTACATACAATTTCTACATAGAAAACAAGGACATACACTACTGTTCAAAAGTTTGGGGTCACTTAGAAATGTCCTTGTTTTCGAAAGAAAAGCAATTTTTTTGTCCATTAAAATAACATCAAATTGATCAGAAATACAGTGTAGACATTGTTTATGTTGTAAATGGCTATTGTAGCTGGAAACGGCTGATTATTTATTGAATATCTACATAGGCGTACAGAGGCCCATTTTCATCAACCATCAGTCCTGTGTTCCAATGGCACGTTGTGTTTGCTAATCCAAGTTTATCATTTTAAAAGGCTAATTGATCATTAGAAAACCCTTTTGCAATTATGTTAGCACAACTGAAAACTGTTGTGCTGATTAAAGAAGCAATAAAACTGGCCTTCTTGAGACTAGTTGAGTATCTGGAGCATCAGCAATTGTGGGTTCGATTACAGGCTCAAAATGGCCAGAAACAAAGAACTTTCTTCTGAAACTCGTCAGTCTATTCTTGTTCTGAGAAATGAAGGCTATTCCATGCGAGAAATTGCCAAGAAACTGAAGATCTCGTACAACGCCGTGTACTACTCCCTTCACAGAACAGCGCAAACTGGCTCTAACCAGAATAGAAAGAGGAGTGGGAGGCCCTGGTGCACAACAGAGCAAGAGGACAAATACAGAGTGTCTAGTTTGAGAAACAGGCGCCTCACAGGTCCTCAACTGGCAGCTTCATTAAATAGTACCTGCAAAACACCCGTCTCAACGTCAACAGTGAAGAGGCGACTCCGGGATGCTGACCTTCTAGGCAGAGTTGCAAAGAAAAAGCCATATCTCAGACTGGCCAATAAAAATAAAAGATTAAGATGGGCAAAATAACACAGACACTGGACAGAGGAAGATTGGAAAAAAGTGTTATGGACAGACAAATCGAAGTTTGAGGTGTTCGGATCACAAAGAATAACATTTGTGAGACGCAGACCAAATGAAAAGATGCTGGAGGAGTGCTTGATGCCATCTGTCAAGCATGGTGGAGGCAATGTGATGGTCTGGGGGTGCTTTGGTGGTGGTAAAGTGGGAGATTTGTACAGGGTAAAAGGGATCTTCAAGAAGGAAGGATATTACTTCATTTTGCAACGCCATGCCATAACCTGTGGACGGCACTTGATTAGAGCCAATTTCCTCCTACAACAGGACAATGACCCAAAGCACAGCTCCAAACTATGCAATAACTATTTAGGAAAGAAGCAGTCAGCTGGTATTCTGTCTATAATGGAGTGGCCAGCACAGTCACCGGATCTCAACCCTATTGAGCTGTTGTGGGAGCAGCTTGACCGTATGGTACGTAAGAAGTGCCCATCAAGCCAATCCAACTTGTGGGAGGTGCTTCAGGAAGCATGGGGTGAAATCTCTTCAGATTACCTAAAAAAATTGACAACTAGAATGCCAAAGGTCTCCAAGGCTGTAATTGCTGCAAATGGAGGATTCTTTGACGAAATCAAAGTTTGAAGGACACAAAAAAATCATTATTTCTAATCTTGTCAATGACTACATTTCCTATTCATTTTGCTATATTTCCTATTCAAACTCATTTGATGTATGTTTTCATGGAAAAAAATGAAATTTCTAAGTGACCCCAAACTTTTGAACGGTGGTGTACATTTGATACTGCCACTTATGTGGTGATAAACTGATAAAAACAAAAGCATATAATAATTCTAGTCAAGTTGGCAGATGTACCTTCAGCGTGCTGTTGAGGGTCCTGATGAGGTGCAGTTTCTCGTTTATGTCCTGGTTTTTGCATCTCTTTATAAAGGAGGCTCTGAAGTCCCTCTTGGTGGATGGTTTGCGGTCTCCTATGGGAGAGAGGCTGGCCTGCTTGATGTGGATGTACAGTCTCTCCATCTCATCAGACGTGGCTTCATGGTTCACTGCAAGAACAATAGAATGGACTTTAAGAAATGTATATTTCTGCAGAAAAATATTTATATTATAACTAATTTACTTCACAAAAATTACTTGGCTTTAAGATTAAGTATGACAAGGTTTGAGGTCAGTCCCCTTACTCAAAACTGGTTAAACAGAATATTGAGCTCATTGAAAGGATTTAAATAGTGTTGACTATAACTCTGCATCGTTTCATTTTTTTCTCTCCAACTGGTTGATTGACAGTTATGAGACAATGTATGTTAGCCAAAACTGCGAAAACAGGACGAAGACTAGGATGTTTTGGTATTCAAATCTGTTGAACAAAAATTCCTAGGCCAGGGCAGGATGTGCAGGCAGACATGCAAACTAACTCACATCTTCCAATGAGCACATCTACTTACTGTCATCCCCAATGTGCTGCCAAAGACAGAAGCTGTGACATTACACAACAGGAAGTGTGGTCTACTTGCACTTCTCCTATCCACAGGTCTGATCACATAAGAACTAAAGGGATCCAGTGAGCACAAAATTCATTTTCCTTCACAATTTGTATTGTAATTAATATGTTCCCCTTATTTAAGTCAACAGTTGTTAAGAAAAAAGCATTCTCACCATCTTCTGTCCCTATTCCAAGCACAGCCACCTCCTCTGTCTGCTCCCTGGGGTTAACGTCCCCCTCCCTGGCTGTGCTCCCAGGGGGGTCCTGGTAGGATGAAGCCTCCTGGTGGTGCTGTGGGGGCCGATGTGTGTGGACCTGCACAGAGCACACCACCGTTTCCCCGACAACAGGAGAGGCCTGCGAGACCAGGTCCAGCCAGGATTGACGATGCTTGGCCAGAGAGGACACGGAACTCTGTGATGTCATCGTGCTGACTGGTGAGGAGAAGGAGCCATTGGTCTCACCAGGAAGGGGGGAGGAGTAGGGGGGAGGGAGGGTACCCTGAGAGAGAAGAACATGAAGGGGGTTGTTTAGCAGGGTTTAATACACAAACTTTGAAAAGATTTATGTAAGTCAGTGTAACTAAGGCCCAGAGGTTTTCTTGGTCAGGTAACACGGTTAGGAAAAACTTTTGGCCTTAATTACCAGAGCCTACTCGACTGCCCAGTGCCTACTGCCTACTGACCTGATGTCCACTGCCAGGTGGACCATCCACAGAGCCCTGGTCCATCTGTTCAGAGTATGGGGGAGGGGGAGCCTCTGTCGTCTCAGCCTCCTCGTGATCACTCGCCTCACTGTAGCACTCTGGACACAGAGTCAAAATGCCATTAGGCTACATACAGTGAGGGAAAAAAGTATTTGATCCCCTGCTGATTTTGTACGTTTGCCCACTGACAAAGAAATGATCAGTCTATAATTTTAATGGTAGGTTTATTTGAACAGTGAGAGACAGAATAACAACAAAAAAATCCAGAAAAACGCATGTCAAAAATGTTATAAATTGATTTGCATTTTAATGAGGGAAATAAGTATTTGACCCCTCTGCAAAACATGACTTAGTACTTGGTGGCAAAACCCTTGTTGGCAATCACAGAGGTCAGACGTTTCTTGTAGTTGGCCACCAGGTTTGCACACATCTCAGGAGGGATTTTGTCCCACTCCTCTTTGCAGATCTTCTCCAAGTCATTAAGGTTACGAGGCTGACGTTTGGCAACTCGAACCTTCAGCTCCCTCCACAGATTTTGTATGGGATTAAGGTCTGGAGACTGGCTAGGCCACTCCAGGACCTTAATGTGCTTCTTCTTGAGCCACTCCTTTGTTGCCTTGGCTGTGTGTTTTGGGTCATTGTCATGCTGGAATACCTATCCACTACCCATTTTCAATGCCCTGGCTGAGGGAAGGAGGTTCTCACCCAATATTTGACGGTACATGGCCCTGTCCATCGTCCCTTTGATCCTGTGACGTTGTCCTGTCCCCTTAGCAGAAAAACACCCCCAAAGCATAATGTTTCCACCTCCATGTTTGACGGTGGGGATGGTGTTCTTGGGGTCATAGGCAGCATTCCTCCTCCTCCAAACACGGCGAGTTGAGTTGATGGCAAAGAGCTCCATTTTGGTCTCATCTGACCACAACACTTTCACCCAGTTCTCCTCTGAATCCTTCAGATGTTCATTGACAAACTTCAGACGGGCCTGTATATGTGCTTTCTTGAGCAGGGGGACCTTGCGGGCGCTGCAGGATTTCAGTCCTTCACGGCATAGTGTGTTACCAATTGTTTTCTTGGTGACTATGGTCCCAGCTGCCTTGAGATCATTGACAAGATCCTCCCGTGTAGTTCTGGGCTGATTCCTCACCGTTCTCATGATCATTGCAACTCCACAAGGTGAGATCTTGCATGGAGCCCCAGGCCGAGGGAGATTGACAGTTATTTTGTGTTTCTTCCATTTGCAAATGATCGCACCGTTGTCACCTTCTCACCAAGCTGCTTGGCGATGGTCTTGTAGCCCATTCCAACCTTGTCTAGGTCTACAATCTTGTCCCTGACATCCTTGGAGAGCACTTTGGTCTTGGCCATGGTGGAGAGTTTGGAATCTGATTGATTGATTGCTTCTGTGGACAGGTGTCTTTTATACAGGTAACAAACTGAGATTAGGAGCACTCCCTTTAAGAGTGTGCTCCTAATCTCAGCTCTTTACCTGTATAAAAGACACCTGGGAGCCAGAAATCTTTCTGATTGAGAGAGGGTCAAATACATATTTCCCTCATTAAAATGCAAATCAATTAATACTTTTTTTTACATGCGTTTTTCTGGATTTTGTTGTTGTTATTCTGTCTCTCACTGTTCAAATAAACCTACCATTAAAATTATAGACTGATCATGTCTTTGTCAGTGGGCAAACGTACAAAATCAGCAGGGGATCAAATACTTTTTTTCCCCTCACTGTACTTGACAAACAATAATCAGCAGTGATACTGAGGCAATAGTAGTAAAGAACAGAATGAGTCAATTGGTGGAATGGACCACAGCTGATAAATCATTCCGACTGATCAACATAAAAGCTTACCAGCAGTGTTGCTCTCTGTTGGTTCGTATTGTATTGAAGCAAGCCCAAGCTTATTCAACCATCTGCAACAGACAAACAGAGAGAGACTGTCACATTCCTCACAGTGTTTCTATGATGACTATCTTAACATGACAATCTTTTCATGTGACTTACACGTTCATCTCCTCGTAGGTATCAGCTGCAAAGAAAAAAATCATGACTTGCGGGTGACATGCTTTGATGGCACTGCAAGAGACAGAGAGGGGAGAGAACATAACTCAGATGATTAATTTTCTCACTTTGTGTTCAATCATTCACACTCTGTGCTCAGGAAGTTAAACATTCACGAGCCCTATAACTTCCAGTCATTGTGAGAGGTGGGCGTCCTCGTCAAATTGAAAAAGTGCTAGTAAATGGTCAGTGATTACCTGGAATAGATTAATTGACCAGTTTTACACCAACAGTAACATGATTTAGTGAAATAAGAAACAAATGACTTACTATTTTTTCTTGCACTCCAATGCTCTGTCGATGATGAAGTCAGTCAGGTTAATGAATCCCTCTGCTTTCTCTGCCTGAAAATAATGTAGGATTAACAGATTCTTAGCATTAAAGGGATTGGCATTTCAAAGCAATGAAAAAAGACACATTATTAAACCTTTTATCCATTTCTAGTTCCCTCAAATTAGTTTTGACACATGGTAAACATAGGCTTTATTAATTCCTCCATCATGCCAGTAATCATGCCTCCGTAGAAGAAACTGACACACTGACACTTCCAGTTTCAGGAAACACCATGTCAGAGTCAGACTGACTAATTACCAGCAGTGACGAGAGGTAGCGGAGGCAGCAGGCAGCTGTGGAAATGATAGGATGACTCAGCATAGAAGGCTAAGTTGCCAGTGTTACTCACCAGCTGAGTAGTGTACCAGTACAGAGAAGTCTTCTTCAGCACAAACCAGTACTTCTTCCATTTGAAGCCCAGGAAGCCCTTTCCTTCTTTCTTCCTGTAGAGCCAGCCATGGTAGTCCAACTCCCCCAGCTCTTTAACCGAGACCCTCCGTCTGCTCATTGCCACATTGCCTGAACACAGAAACACAAACAGAGGAGATCGTTCCTGAATTCATGCACCGTGGTTGTAAAGCAACAATATACCCTCTAATTTACCTTTTTGCTATGCAGACATTTTGATATGACACTTTGATTGGTTAAATAAATCCTCTTCAGCAAGTTCAGCAAGGTACAAACAATATTACATGCCCATGATGTACAGAGGGATACAATATAATTCAAATAGTCCAATGACTCCAAATTGAACATTCTACGCAACAGATCTGTTAAACAGATTTATGGTTCACCTGCTGATTCAGATTTTAAGTTACTGTTTCCAAGTACAGCAGATTCAGAATCTCTTTCAACCACTTTCAGCCTACCTGTGTCAGATGGTTGTCAGCCAAAGAATTTTCAAAAAAGTATTCCACAGGTAAATGCCAAAATAAAGGAAATACCAGTGTCTTATTAGGGTGTTGGGCCACCATGAGCCAGAACAGCTTCAATGCACCTTGGAATAGATTCTACAAGTGTCTGGAACTCTATTGGAGGGATGCGACACCATTCTTCCATGAGAAATTCCATAATTTGGTGTTTTGTTGATGGTGGTGGAAAGCACGGTCTCAGGGGCCATTACAGAATCTCCCATAAGTGTTCAATTGTGTTGAGATCTGATGACTGAGATGGCCATGGCATATGGTAAAACATTTAATAATACTCATCAAACCATTCAGTGACCACTCATGCCCTGTGGATGGGGCATTGTCATCCTATGGGGGCATAGCCATGTTAGCTATGGCAGGTAGCCTAGCGGTTAGAGCATTGGGTCGAATACCCAAGCCGACAAAGTGAAAAATCTGTTGATGTACCCTTGAGCAAGGCACTTAACCCTAATTTGCTCCAGGGGCGCCGTACTAGTATGACTGACCCTGTAAAACAACACATTTCACTGCACCTATCTGGTGTATGTGACAATAAATGTCCCTAAACACAATGGGATGTTAATTGCTTTCCTTAACTCAAGAACCACACCTGTGTGGAAGCACCTGTTTTCAATATACTTTGTATCCCTCATTTACTCAAGAGTTTCCATTATTTTGGCAGTTACCTGTTTATCACACACAATGAAGCACAGCATACACTAACTGCCCATAAACAGAAGGCTAATAATATTGGAATCTCTTGCTGAGCCTGGTCTTAACCCTTTACACTAGTGGGAATTGGCCTATATAGATAGGGGTAAATGTTTCTTACAGAAGAAATATGAAAAGCATGGTAGCAATTGAAAGGAAATAGTTTGGAGATTATGGGAATATTATTAGACAAAAGTTCAGGACACAACAGTTCACCTGACACAAGACTGAATCCAAACATTATACTGTTGATTTTATGTGCATTTTACATTTACTTTCCTTTTCGGCGCATTTGCTGATAACAAAATCTGAAAATACATTCAGTAACATGATAAGAATATTCCTGTAAAATGTGGGGTAGGTGCAACATACAGTGGGGAAAAAAAGTATTTAGTCAGCCACCAATTGTGCAAGTTCTCCCACTTAAAAAGATGAGAGAGGCCTGTAATTTTCATCATAGGTACACGTCAACTATGACAGACAAAATTAGAAAAAAAAATCCTGAAAATCACATTGTAGGATTTTTAATGAATTTATTTGCAAATTATGGTGGAAAATAAGTATTTGGTCAATAACAAAAGTTTCTCAATACTTTGTTATATACCCTTTGTTGGCAATGACACAGGTCAAACGTTTTCTGTAAGTCTTCACAAGGTTTTCACACACTGTTGCTGGTATTTTGGCCCATTCCTCCATGCAGATCTCCTCTAGAGCAGTGATGTTTTGGGGCTGTCGCTGGGCAACACAGACTTTCAACTCCCTCCAAAGATTTTCTATGGGGTTGAGATCTGGAGACTGGCTAGGCCACTCCAGGACCTTGAAATGCTTCTTACGAAGCCACACCTTCGTTGCCCGGGCGGTGTGTTTGGGATCATTGTCATGCTGAAAGACCCAGCCACGTTTCATCTTCAATGCCCTTGCTGATGGAAGGAGGTTTCACTCAAAATCTCAGGATACATGGCCCCATTCATTCTTTCCTTTACACGGATCAGTCGTCCTGGTCCCTTTGCAGAAAAACAGCCCCAAAGCATGATGTTTCCACCCCCATGCTTCACAGTAGGTATGGTGTTCTTTGGATGCAACTCAGCATTCTTTGTCCTCCAAACACAACGAGTTGAGTTTTTACCAAAAAGTTCTATTTTGGTTTCATCTGACCATATGACATTCTCCCAATCCTCTTCTGGATCATCCAAATGCACTCTAGCAAACTTCAGACGGGCCTGGACACGTACTGGCTTAAGCAGGGGCACACGTCTGGCACTGCGGGATTTGAGTCCCTGGCGGCGTAGTGTGTTACTGATGGTAGGCTTTGTTACTTTGGTCCCAGCTCTCTGCAGGTCATTCACTAGGTCCCCCCTGTGGCTCTGGGATTTTTGCTAACTGTTCTTGTGATAATTTTGACCCCACGGGGTGAGATCTTGCGTGGAGCCCCAGATCGAGGGAGATTATCAGTGGTCTTGTATGTCTTCCATTTCCTAATAATTGCTCCCACAGTTGATTTCTTCAAACCAAGCTGCTTACCTATTGCAGGTTCAGTCTTCCCAGCCTGGTGCAGGTCTACAATTTTGTTTCTGGTGTCCTTTGACAGATCTTTGGTCTTGGCCATAGTGGAGTTTGGAGTGTGACTGTTTGAGGTTGTGGACAGGTGTCTTTTATACTGATAACAAGTTCAAACAGGTGCCATTAATACAGGTAACGAGTGGAGGACAGAGGAGCCTCTTAAAGAAGAAGTTACAGGTCTGTGAGAGCCAGAAATCTTGCTTGTTTGTAGGTGACCAAATACTTATTTTCCACCATCATTTGCAAATAAATTCATTAAAAATCCTACAATGTGATTTTCTGGAATTTTTTTTCTCAATTTGTCTGTCATAGTTGACGTGTACCTATGATGAAAATTACAGGCCTCTCTCATCTTTTTAAGTGGGAGAACTTGCACAATTGGTGGCTGACTAAATACTTTTTTTCCCCACTGTAAACCAAAAAAATTACATGGGTTTGAGAGGACTAACTGGTGTCTTCAAGTGGCCGAACACCTCTCCAAAGTGTGCACAGTTCCTAAGTCATTTCAATGCACTTTTATGACTCAAAGAGTCTTCAACTATAAGTTGTTTTTTTTTTTAGCTCTCCTAGCTGTGCCGTTGAGGAACTAGAACAAGCACACTTGTAGTTGTTTTGAACACAGCCCTTCAATCACACAATTACTGTTGTTGTTTAAGCAACTGCACATTATAAATTGCAATCTGGGTCAGGTGGGCATCATTTAAAAGCTTGTTCTATTGCCAACTTGAATAGCTAAGTTATAAAATATGATCTTACAGTGTTAGGGCAATTCAGAGAAACAGATCGTAATTTTGGTGTGCATAGAAAGGAGTCGTGTGCATTCAGCTGCGTGTTCCGCAGAGAATCTTCTTCACAATAGACAAACATAGGCTCATTCTGTTCAGAACAACCCAGCGTATGATGCCATGTCATCTTGTAACTGTACATCAAACATAGTGATCATAAAACGGTGACACTGTATATGATGAGTTTTATGATATGGAAATGTGAATTGTACATTCGGGCTCAAAGCGGTATTTATTATAATCCTCAACGTCTGATCTTTTAAAATAGATTGAGTCCTCTTAATTTACACCATTTCCCTTACTCAGACAACAAAAAAATGTGGAAAAGTTGCCCAATTAACAGGAGGGAGGGGGACTAAGTTCAGGACAGCGGTCAGTCAAAACCCAAACAGCACTGTAAAGCGCAGAGCCAGAGCTCTGACGTAATTTATAGCATGTTACTGTACAACCACTGCGTTCCAATTTAGACGCTTATCAGTGCCCAAATCTGCAATTTTCAACCCATATATGAGTGTAAAGGGCTACAGCATTTTCAACACAACCCTCCACACAGAGACTCTAATCGTCTTGTCACTTCACACACGTCCAAATCAGGGGAGCCAAATTACAGTTGAGGGCACAGACAGCAAGCAGGCAGGCAGCAGAATCAGGCTTGGACACCAACTTACCTCCTCGAGTTTTCCTCTTGGGTTTCTGTCTCAGGGAAACCTGAGAGAACACAAGAAAGGTAGTGAGAGGTCAGATAGTCCCTAGTTCAGGAGATGGGTGATTGAAGATAGTGCTCCCCCAGACAGTGCAGCTCGATCAGACAGTCCCTCACCCTACCTCAGCGATTGTCTTTGAAACATCCTGTTTCACACTACCAGTGTCACATCTCTCTCTCTAACATCCTCTTCTCTCTCTCTCGTGTTCATTATCTCTCTCTACTCTCTCCAACATCCTCTTCTCTCTCTCGTGTTCATTCTCTCTTTCTCTTTCGCAGATATTCCAAATGCAGTATTCACAAGCAATCAAATATAACACAGAGGTTTGCCACCTTTTTTAAATATATGTACTTTTTTTAACAATAAAGAAGCTTTTTGTTTAATTCCATTGTCCTCCAAGAGTTGCTGAATCTCCGCTCTACTATATATTGTGAGATCTCAGAGGAAGATGTAATGATGACATCCTATGAGAAAGGAATTGCCAAAGCAATATGTGAGTACTGCCTGCCTCAGGAAAAAAATGCCCATTCAAAAAACTATAGATAATCTCCAGTACTTACAGGGTTGTAGTCATCAGCTGCCATGGAGGGAGCCAGAGATATAGGGAAGGCAGCCTGCAGTCAGAGAGAGAGAGAGAGAGAGAGAGAGAGAGACCTTTTCAATTTATCCACAGACTGTTGAATTCAAAACATTATTTACCCCCCATTTTAGTACAATACTTCAAATGTCAAAAGGTCCACTTTGACATCTCTCCTGATTTAGAGAAAAGGGGGAACTGCTTCACATCATGGATGAGTTGGTGTCCATTTATAGCATGACCCTTGTACGCTGCATTTAGTCTTCATAAGTGAACTTGCACAAGACTGTAGTCAGCCCTTTCATTAACAGAATATGACCCATAATGTCTTCAAACCAAACATGGGAACTGACGTTGTCACAGACATTGAGAAACAGTTTCCTTCACATTGACATTATTGACAAACTTCCTCCTAGAATACTTCTTCAGGGGGACTACGTTCCAGACAGAGAATATCTGAGGGGTTTGATGGAGGGACCCTCAGACTCTGGAGCCACACAAACCAAAATGTAGGTCACATCAGCTGATAAAAACTTGTAAACTAAGGTTAAGCTCTTTCCAGATCCATGGTCCTGATGGACAAAGAAAATGCCTCCAATTTAGGAAGTTATACTGGTAGGTACACATTCCTACCATACAGTTCCAAAATGCTGCAATGAAAGAACAATATACATATTCATTTAGTCAAGATGAATCCGTGACAAATCAGTACCTGTTGCTTTCAAACCAGGTTAGGAATATATCCACTTAAGAGCATCCGGCTTCATAAGGCTGGTCTTCACCAAATGACACATACCAAAGAAGAGAAACATATCTATGCTTCACTTCTCTCGCTGTCTTGCTCAACACACTTGCATCTCAGTCAGCAACATGTTTTGTTAACCAACTGATGACTGTGAGCCTAGTGATATTTCATCACACTATAACCACAGCTGCAGCCTTATGAACTAACCACAGCTAAGCAGATGAACTAACTGCACGTCATCAGATGACATAAACAATACAACCAGTTTAAGAGAGCATCAAGAACGGTGTGAGCACTGACTGCAGCATACTACCACATCAGACAGGTCAAGAGTTTAGGGATCAAATGCTTCCACACCTAATAACGGCCATGTTTGGAACTAAACAAGAATCAGATATAACAAAAACAAAATGAATTAAAAACACTAGCTGGACTGAACCGAGTTCAGTGAAGCCATCTAGGCCTATAACCGTTTACTCAAAATGTGTGTGTCTTTCTTTGATGGATTGACCCAAACCCTGTGTTTGTGTTAGTTTAAAAAAACGAATAGGCAAACGAAAAGCAGATAACTTGTCTTCAAACATTAAGGTGATAGTCTAGTCCTCAAAAATCACCCCAAAACATACCTGCAACTTAGATATGAAAATACGTATTTTAGTGCGGATAACGTCTCTGCTGAAGGAAAGCTTGCACTTGCAACGGCGAAAACCCTCTAAAACAATGGTGAACATTAGGTTGCAATATAGTAGCAGTGAGTCTGAATTTGTCCAATGAGTTAAAGTGTGCACCGTCACCCAATAACCACTAGATGTCACTCTAGCGCATCAAATGTGTAAATTAGATTGTAGGCGACACTTGTTCATCAAAGCTGTTGACTTGACGTTAATTGAATTCTCACAGACTCTTGCTGTGGACAATATACAGTACATTACCAAAAGTATGTGGACACCTGCTCATTGAACATCTCATTCCAAGATCATGGGAATATGGAGTTGGTCCCCCCTTTGCTGCTATAACAGCCTCCACTCTTCTGGGAGTCTGCTAAATGACTAAAATGTAAATGTAAATGTAAGTCTTTCCACTAGATATTGCGGGGACTTGCTCCCATTCAGCCACAAGAGCATTAGTGAGGTCAGGGCACTGATGTTGGGCGATTAGGCCTGGCTCTCTGTAGGCATTCCAATTAATCCCAAAGGTGTTCGATGGGGTTGAGGTCAGGGCTCTTTGCAGGCCTGTCAAGTTCTTCCACACCAATCTCGACAAACCATTTCTGTATGGACCTCGCTTTGTGCACGAGTGCATTTTCATGCTAAAAGAGGAAAGGGCCTTCCCCAAACTGTTGCCACAAAGTTGGAAGCACAGAATCGTCTAGAATGTCATTGTATGCTGTAGTGTTAAGATTTCCCTTCACTGGAACTAAGGGATCTAGCCCAAACCATGAAAAACAGCCCCAGACCATTATTCCTCCTCCACCAAACTTTACAGTTGGCACTATGCATTGGGGCAGGTAGCGTTCTCCTGGCATCCGCCAAACCCAGATTTGTCCGTCGGACTGCCAGATGGTGAAGCGTGATTCATCACTCCAGAGAACATGTTTCCACTGTTCCAGAGTCCAATGGCAGTGAGCTTTACACCACTCCAGCCAACGCTTGGCATTGCGCATGGTGATCTTTGGCTCGTGTGCGGCTGCTCGACCATGGAAACCCATTTAATGAAGCTCCCGACAAACAGTTATTGGGCTGACGTTGCTTCCAGAGGCAGTTTGGAACTCGGTAGTGAGTGTTGCAACCGAGGACAGATGATTTATACGCGCTACGTGCTTCAGCACTCAGCGGTCCCGTTCTGTGAGCTTGTGTGGCCTACCACTTTGCGGCTGAGCCGTTGTTTCTCCTAGAGGTTTCCACTTCACATTAACAGCACAGTTGACCGGGGCAGCTCTAGCCCAGCAGAAATGTGAATAACTGACTTGTTGGAAAGGTGACATCCTATGGCGTTGCCACGTTGAAAGTCACTGAGCTCTTCAGTAAGGCCATTCTACTGCCGATGTTTGTCTATGGAGATTGCATGGCGGCGTGCTCGATTTTATACACCTGTCAGCAACGGGTGTGGCTGATATAGCTGAATCCACTAATTTGATGGGGTGTCCACATACCTTTGTATATATAGTGTATATATCCACAGTCTGTTTAAACAATTACAATACGACTTGCCATAATCATATTGGTATTACAGACTGGTAAAAACATCATCATTGAATGAATTTCACAAAATATACCATTACGGAGGTGCCTTAGGAAAAAGGAAAGAAATATGTGTCACATCACGGTCCACTTATGGTTTTCTGGGAGGAAACTAAAGGAGGCTGCAGCATGGCTATCAACACTCTTCTCTCCCTGTGGGGAGCACAAACTGTAGCCATAACATTTGTCTAGCGCTCTGACTGGGGCTGTAATGTTTGTGGATGGTAGCTGCTATCTGCTCAGAGGATCGGATGCGGTGGGTTCTCCCTGTGCTAGAACACTAGTGGTAAACCAGACACATTCCTGGACCTGGAGAGGACGGCTATTATATAGAGGCTCCCCTCCTCTCTCTCTGTCTCCCCACTGACCTCAACCCTCATGGGGCTCCTGTGTCCTGACATGCCCCACTGTGCCCATACAGTGACAGGCAAACTATAGGGACATTCTCTTCTCTCTCTCCCTCTCTCTCTACCCTCTCTCCTCCTGTCTCTCTATCTCTCTGCCATTCTCTCTACGTTTCTCACATCCCCCTCTCATCCATATCAAGTAACACCATTGTCATCACCAAGTTACAATCATCTGGGCCATGGCTTTTGAAATGGATAGAAAGATGGAATTCAAAGATTTACATGCAATTCTGTTTCTATTGTTCTCATTCATTTTAGAACAAAAGTCTAAGCATGTCACATTAGAATGATTTAGCACTGAGTATTGTTTTGATACATGAAAAGGCAGTGGGGGAAATAAGGTAAGCCCTCCACCACTCATGTCAGAGCCCAATAGACTTCCTGGGAATGTGGATTTGTCACACCATTGTGGACTAAATCTCCCATCATGTTCCATGCTGAGAATTGTCACAGCACTTAACTAATATCCCCCAAGTCCTGCTCTGGAGCAAGTGGAGCGAGGGGCTTTCACTGGCAGATACAGAGTGGCTATTCTTCACTCGGGGTCTCTCATGCTGGGCCAGGGCCCCGGGCCGCAGAGCTGGTATCAGGTTCTTTACACTGCTCAGTGTGCTGCGACTACAGGAGATTGGCAAAGGCCCCCCATAGTTGCCTCGCACTGTGGCTCAACCCCGGCAGCGAAAACAGTTGACACATTGATTTAAAGGCCCAGTGCAGTCAAAAACTTGACTTTTTCTGTGTTTTACACATATTTCCACACTATGAGGTTGGAATAATACTGTGAAATTGGGACAATTATGATAAAGCCCTTTTAGTGTAAAAGCTGTTTGAAAAGACCACCTGAAATCTCAGTCTGTTTTGGTGGGATGGAAATACCACCTGAAAGTTCAGCCTGTTTTGGTGGGATGGAGTTTTGGCCTGTCTGGTGACATCACCAGGTGGTAAATTAGTTAATAGACCTATAAGAAAGAGAGTTCCAAACCTCTTTGCCAATAACAGCTAGTTTTCTGTTTTCCCCTCCCCACTCAGACCACTCCTAGACATTCTTGCTTGAGAAATTGCTCTTTGCTAAGAAGCAATTTTTGTTTCTTTTTGACCATTTTAATTTAAAACAATCACAGTAAGGTACATAACTGTTACCCAGAAATGATTTGATATCGAGATAAAAACAGCTGCATTGGACCTTTAACTCTTTGAGTACTGCTGTGGTCCATAATTCACTGAGCAATGAATATTCCCCCTCTCACCTACATACAGTCCTGTGAAAAAGTATTTGCCCCCTTTCTGATTTTCTTTATTTTTGCATATTTTCGATACTGAATGTTGTCAGATCTTCAACCAAAACTTAATATTAGTTAAAGGGAACCTGAGTTACCAAGAAATAAATTAATGTATACTTATTTTATTTATTTAATTAACAAAGTTATGCAACACCCAATTCCCCTGTGTGAAAAAGTGATTGCCCCCTTACACTCAATAACTGGTTGTGCCACCTTTAGCTGCATTTACTGCAACCAAATGCTTCCTGTAGTTGTTGATCAGTCTCTCACATCACTGTGGAGGAATTTTGCCCCACTCTTGCATGCAGAACTGCTTTAACTCAGTGACATTTGTGGGTTTTCAAGCATGAACTGCTTGTTTTCAAGCATGAACTGCTCGTTTCAAATCCTGCCACAACATCTCAATTGGGATCTTGGCTTTGACTAGACCATTCCAAAACTTCAAATTTGTTGCTTTTTAGCCATTTTCATGTAGACTTGATTGTGTGTTTTGGATCATTGTTTTGCTGCATGACCCAGCTGCTCTTCAGCTTCAGCTCACAGACAGCCTGACATTCTCCTGCAGAATTCTCTGATACATAGCTGAATTCATGGTTCCTTCTATTAAGGCAAGTCTTGCAGGTCCCGAGGCAGCAAAGCATCTCCAAACCATCACACTGCCACCACAATGCTTTACCGTTAGTATATGGTTCTTACTGTGGAATGCAGTGTTTGGTTTTCGCTAGAACATTCTTCCAAGAGTCTTGATGATCATCCAGGTTCTTTTTGTCAAACTTGAGTGAACTTTTTGGACGAGATGGGTCCCATTATGTCTGGCAAAAACCAAACACTGCATTCCACAGTAAGAACCTCATACCAATGGTCAAGCATGGTGGTACTAGGAGAATGTCAGGCCATCCATATCTGAGCTGAAGCTGAAGCACAGCTGGGTCATGCAGCAAGACATTGATCCAAAATACACAATCAAGTCTACATGAAAATGGTTAAAAACAAACATATTTGAAGTTTTGGAATGGCCTAGTCAAAGTCCAGAACTAATCCCAATTGAGATGTTGTGGCAGGAACCCACAAATGTTGCTGAGTTAAAGTAGTTCTGCACAGAAGAGTGGGCCAAAATTCCTCCACAGCGACGTGAGAGACTGATCAACAACTACAGGAAGCATTTGGTTGGAGTAATTGCAGCTAAAGGTGGCACAACCAATTATTGAGTGTAAGGGGGCAATTACTTTTTCACACGGGCATTGGGTGTTGCATAACGTTGTTTATGAAATAAATAAATAAAGTATGTAATTGTTGTGTTATTTGTTCACGCAGGTTCCTTTTATCTAATATTAGGTTTTGGTTGAAGATCTGACAACATTCAGAATGAAAAATATGCAAAAGTAGAGAAAATTAGAAAGGGGGCAAATACTTTTTCACAGCACTGTACATGATCCCACACTCCTTCTGAAATTATTCACAGAGGAAAAAATGGAAAAGTGTATGGCTTATAGAGCACCTATTTCTCCCTCTCCCTGGGCCTTGACAAAGGCTTGACTTTAGTTCAAGGTTTTCTTGTTTGTGCACAATATCTCTTGGAGATCATGAACCTTTGGAGTAGTGATTTGTTCCTTTGTCACTAGCTGCTCTGTGGCCATATATCTGACCGCACTGGATGTGTATGCCTGCTAAGTGTGACTGAGGGATTGGCATTAACTCATGGCTCTCTGGGATATTACAGGAGGGGAGGAGGCAGGAAAGTGATCCCCAGAGGCTTGGCCGCTGAATGTTCCGATATCCCCCAGCCAGGTAATCCAATACCCACATCTGTCATGGCCAATAAGTGGCAGATCAATTTCCACTACGGCTCATTTTGAGGCGTAACAGTGGGTTATGTCCCGCTGCTGATAATAGCCTCCAGAATGGCCACTTTCATAGTTAGCTATTAACTGATATCATTTGAGTGGCAATGAAATGGCTCAAGATTGTGATTAAGAAGACCATGAAGAATAGTTTAGTGTCAGTGGTTGAGTATATGTACCACAACTCTTGTTTAATGTCTTATCTGTGTGATATAATGGGATTGTCTCAAAGGCCAGAGACATTCCTCACATAGCAGGAGGAGATCTCTCTCTCTCTCTCTCTCTCTCTCTCTCTCTCTCTCTCCTCTCTCTCTCTCTCTCTCTCTCTCTCTCTCTCTCTCTCTCTCTCTCTCTCTCTCTCTCTCTCTCTCTCTCTCTCTCTCTCTCTCTCTCTCTCTCTCTCTCTCTCTCTCTCTCAAAAACAACCCTTTAATGGATAATGATTTATCACTTTGCCATATCTTATCACTGTTCATTGAATTGTGTAAGCAATGCTAAGTCTGTGTGTTTCATTCATCCAGGAGTACTGGGCTTCTCATCACCACTGAGTGTGTGTGGATTAACAGAATCATGAAGGATTGGGAGGTGAGAATGGAGACAAGGAGCCAGAGGAGCCACTCTGAACCACTCTGAACCAGTGGAGTGGAGACAGAGTTTATGGACACAAAACAGATTATGTTAGAGGTCAGGGGTCAAGCCAGAGAGCAGAGATGTCCTTACCGCTTGAGAGAAGGACCAGGATCGAATATGAGGTTGGCTGTATCTGAGGAGGAGAGAGGAGAGAATGAGGCAAGATTAGAAAACAAAGCATCTAGCATATCATCTAGTCTAGACCAATGACTAAATTAGTCAGGGGGCAAATGGGTAACATTGACTAGTCAAAACCACTCATTCTACCCTCTGCATCAACCTCAACATACCACAGAGGCACTTACTGTACCATTTAGGTTTGGGAATGATAAATACAGGAAGTCAAAAATCTTAGTGCATCCTTGGCTCAAACATAGGCACTCATTATCTTTATCTTGGTTCCATTTCAGTTAACTTTCATATATAATTTGCTGCAATAAAATGGATCTTGTGGCAAAAATAGTGCCGTTTTTTTCTGTCTGTGTCGGGACAGTGGTGATATATCAGGCAAACAGCCACTGCAGTATGGTGCACAGAGAGCTATCGGCCAATTCTCAAAATACATAGATTTACGTCAGCAGGCTACAGGCCTCGCCCTGCAATCTTAGGGTATGAAGTCGTCTTAGCTTGTTTTTCCTGTCTGTCAATTGCTTACATCTTTCCCCCCATAGTTAGCAAATCCAGACCTTTTACTGCTGTCTCATATGGTTGGTGTAAGATGTCTGAGACATAATGGTGAGATAGTTAATACCTCTGTGTATGAAAAATGTATGCACTCACTAACTGTAAGTCGCTCTGGATAAGAGCATCTGCTAAATGACTAAAATGTAAAAATGTGCCTTCCTCTGCTTTTTGGCTGTGTGTAAGTGGAGTAGCTAGTTACTTTTGAGTGTCCTAAACTTGTTACTGAATATCCATAATCAAGTATTTGAATGTACATGCAAATAATTGCTCCACCGCCTACTGTATTGTGTAACAGTGATCAGAAATCTTAATATGTGGGCATTCATCAAGTGTGACAAACAGGCTGAGACGAAGGGGGGGGGGGGGTATGCGCGTGTTGGGGTTAACACCCCCTCAGGGCCAATGAAAGGCCATGGAACCTCTACCAAACAGATGGGGGCGACTGTTCCCTCCACCATCGTCACAGTCAGTAGGTTGGAGCAGCTATTTATAGAGTTTGTTGGGAAAATCATCATTTGTCATACCCCGTCATCATTTTTTATTCCTCTTGTAGGATGTCATCCAAGTGAGGTTAATTTAATTTCAATAAGGGGAATCAGATGTCTTGAATGATTTTGAATCCCAAAATAGGAACTAGCCTCATTCAAAGTCCTCTATTTCCAAACAGAAGGATCTGACCCATTCTTTCTGGGTCTTATTCATTTGAAGAATGTCACGCTTGAGGTTGTAACACTATTTGAGGTCCTGTCTGTCTGTGGTCTAGCATGTTGTCTCCCAGTAGTCTATCTGTCCGTCTTTTTGTCTGGTCCGGAGACACTTGAAACCCTCCCTCTTTAAGGAATACCTGAAAAATATATTGGGTGGTTGTCCCACTGGCTATCCTATGTTGAATGCACCTATTTGTAAGTCGCTCTGGATAAGAGTGTCTGCTAAATGACTTAAATGTAAACGGTCCTCTGACACCATGACACTGAGGTTAGTTTTCTACCACATACTTTCACTGGTTGTTAAAATCCAGTTCAGACCACCAACCCAACCACCCCTGGCCTGGTTAAAAACATGCCACTATTCCCTGACTGACTGGTGGCTCCATAAGTGAGATGACACCAACTATGAGGGGTATTTGAGATACTGTATACCCTTCTAGCATATACCATTTGATCTATAGGCCTCATACATCATATGCTTACAGTACAGCACAACTGTAAATTAGAATGGGTTATATTGTGAGTGTTATGGTTGACTATGAGTCATATGAGTGATGTAATATGACCACCCACCTGTTGAGGAAGCCACTGCTGGAGCACCAGTCGGACACCTGTGTGAGTGATGGACACAGATAATAAACTCATTCATTACCCAGCACTGGCCAACTTGGTCACTTTCCCTGGGTCTTCAGGCCTTGTGGGTTGGTTACCACATTGGACTGTCTTGCTAAGATCATTGAAAGGCAATGGAGGCAAGAGCTGCTCTACTGTAGCCTCAAAATTTGATATTAATGTAAATCCTTGATATTTTAAGGACATAACACCTAAGCAGCTAATTTAAATCAGTGTTGATTTACTAATGTGTTAAGTGCATGGCACAATCGCTGATTTGCCCCAAAGCTTATTGCATATATAAAGAAAGTAGGGAGCATGTCACTGAACACACCATCAATTCTCCTGCGAAGAAAATGGTGAATAGAAGAGGGCAAATCTGTCAACATACAGTACATACATACAGTACCAGTCAAAAGTTTGGACACACCTATTCATTCAAGGGTTTTTCTTTATTTTTACTATTTTCTACATTGTAGAATAATAGTGAAGACATCAAAACTATGAAATAATACACATGGAATCATGTAGTAACAACAAATCCAAATATATTTTATATTTTAGATAGTAGCCACCCTTTACCTTGATGACAGCTTTGCACACTCTTGAAAGTATCTTAACCAGCTTCACCTGGAATGCTTTTCCAACAGTCTTGAAGGAGTTCCCACATATGCTGAGCACTTGTTGGCTGCTTTTCCTTCACTCTGCGGTCCAACTCATCTCAAACCGTCTCAATTGGGTTGAGGTCGGGTGATTATGGAAGCCAGGTCATCTGATGCAGCACTCCATCACTCTCCTTCTTGGTCAAATAGCCCTTACACAGCTTGGAGGTGTGTTTTGGGTCATTGTCCTGTTGAAAAACAAATGATAGTCCCTAAGCGCAAACCAGATGGGATGGCGTATCGCTGCAGAATGCTGTGGTAGCCATGCTGGTTAAGTGTCACCAGCAAAGCACCCCCACACCATCACACCTCCTCCTCCATGCTTCACGGTGGGAACCACACACGCGGAGATCATCCGTTCACCTACTCTGTGTCTCACAAAGACATGGCGGTTGGAACCAAAAATCTCAAATTTGGACTCACCAGACCAAAGGACAGATTTCCACCGGTCTAATGTCCATTGCTCGTATTTCTTGGCCCAAGCAAGTCTCTTCTTCTTATTGGTGTCCTTTAGTAGTGGGTTCTTTGCAGCAATTCGACCATGAAGGCCTGATTTACGCAGTCTCCTTTGAACAGTTGATGTTGAGATGTGTCTGTTTCTTGAACTCTGAAGCATTTATTTGGGCTGCAATCTGAGGTGCCGTTAACTCTAATGAACTTATCCTCTGCAGCAGAGGTAACTCTGGGTCTTCTTTTCCTGTGGCGGTCCTCATGAGAGCCAGTTTCATCATAGCGCTTGATGGATTTTGCGACTGCACTTGAAGAAACTTTCAAAGTTCTTGAAATGTTCCAGATTGACTGACCTTCATGTCTTAAAGTAATGATGGACTGTCGTTTCTCTTTGCTTATTTGAGCAGTTCTTGCCATAATATGGACTTTGTCTTTTACCAAATAGGGCTATCTTCTGTATTTGTATTTATTACGGATCCCCATTAGCGGCTGCCAAGGCAGCAGCTACTCTTCCTGGGGTCCAACCACCATTTACATCAATAAAACAATACATAACACATCACCTTATTTCACACTACTCTACCATAACATATTTACAATACAAAATCAATAATACAGCAAAATAACAATATTAAAATGTGTGTGTGTAGAGTGCGTGTGTTAGCATGTGTTTGCGAATGCTGTGTGTGTGCCTGTGTGTGTGTGTGTGTCTCTTCACAGTCCACGCTGTTCCATAAAGTGTAGTTTTATCTGTTTTTTTAAATCTGATTTTACTGCTTGACTGAGTTATATGATGTGGAATAGAGTTCCATGTAGTCATGGCTCTATGTAGTACTGTGCGTTTCCCGTAGTCTGTTCTGGACTTGGGGACTGTGAAGAGATCTCTGGTGGCATGTCTCGTGGGGTATGCATGGGTGTCCGAGCTGTGTGCCAGCATTCCAAACAGACAGCTCGGCATATTCAGCTTGTCTACACCTCTTAAAAAAACAAGCAGTGATGAAGTCAATCTCTTCCACTCTAAGCCAGGAGAGACTAACATGCATGTCATTAATGTTAGCTCTCTGTGTACTTTTAAGGGCCAGCCATGCTGCCCTGTTCTGAGCCAACTGCAATTTTCCCAAGTCCCTCCTTGTGGCACCTGACCACACTACTGAACAGTAGTCTAGGTGCGACAAAACTAGGGCCTGTAGGACCTGCCTTGTTGATAGTGTTGTTAAGAAGGCAGAGCAGTTATTTCAATCGCTGTAGCAGCTGATGTGTATAGTGTTGAGTCATCCGCATACATAGACGCTTTATTCAAAGCCAGTGGCATGTTGTTAGTAAAGATGGAAAAAAGTAAGGGGCCTAAACAGCTGCCCTGGGGAATTCCTGATTCTACCTGGATTAAGTGTGAGAGGTTTCCATTAAATAACACCCTCTGGGTTCTGTTAGACAAGTAACTCTTTATCCACATTATAGCAGGGGGTGTAAAGCCATAACACATAAGTTTTTCCAGCAGCAGATTATGATCGATAATGTCAAAAGCCGCACTGAAGTCTAACAAAACAGCCCCCACAATCTTTTTATCATCAATTTCTCTCAGCCAATCATCAGACATTTGTGTAAGTGCTATGCTTGTTGAATGTCCTTCTCTATAAGCATGCTGAAAGTTTGTTGTTAATTTGTTTACTGTAAAATAGCATTGTATCTGGTCAAACACCATTTTTTCCAATAGTTTACTAAGTCTGGTCGGCTATTTGAGCCAGTAAAAGGGGGCTTTACTATTATTAGGTAACGGAATGACTTTTGCTTCCCTCCAAGCCTTGGGGCACATACATTCTAGTAGGCTTAAATTGAAAATATGGCAAATAGGAGTGGCAATATCGTCCGCTATTATCCTCAGTAATTTTCCATCCAAGTTGTCAGACCCCGGTGGCTTGTCATTGTTAATAGACAACAATAATTTTTTCTCCTCTTCCACACTCACTTTACGGAATTCAAAATTACAATGCTTGTCTTTCATTTATACTTGGATGTGTAGTGTCAGCAATTGTTGCTGGCATGTCATGCCTAAGTTAGCTAATCTTGCCAATTAAAGTAGTTGGTAATATCAGTTGGTTTTGTGATGAATGAGCCACCTGATTCAATGAATGATGAAGCTGAGTTTGCCTTTTTTACCCAAATTTCATTTTAGGTGCTCCAAAACTTTTTACTATCATTCTTTATGTCAGTTATCCTTGTTTCATAGTGTTGTTTCTTCTTCCTTTTATTCAGTTTAGTCACATGATTTCTCAATTTACATTTACATTTAAGTTGCCAATCGGTTGTGCAGCCAGACTTATTTGCCTTTCCGTTTGCCTCATCCCTCTCAACCATACAATTTTTCAATTCCTCATCAATCCACGGGGATTTGACAGTTTTTACAGTCATCTTCTTAATGGGTGCGTGCTTATTAGTAACTGGAATAAGCAATTTAATAAATGCGTCAAGTGCAGTGTCTGTCTGTTCCTCATTACACACCATGGACCAACATATATTCTTTACATCAACAACATAGGAATCACTACAAAACTTATTGTATGACCTCTTATACACAATATTAGGCTCAGCCTTTGGAACTTTGGTTTTCCTGTATACCAACCCTACCTTGTCACAACACAACTGATTGGCTCAAACGCATTAAGAAGGAAAGGAATTCCACAAATTCATTTTTAACAAGGCACACCTGTTAATTGAAATCCATTCCAGGTGACTACCTCATGAAGCTGGTTGAGAGAATGCCAAGAGTGTGCAAAGCTGTCATCAAGGCAAAGGGTGCTACTTTGAAGAATCTAAAATATATTTTGATTTGTTTAACACTTTTTTGGTTACTACATGATTCCATGTGTGTTATTTCATAGTTTTGATGTCTTCACTATTATTCTACAATGTAGAAAATAGCAAAAATAAAGAAAAACCCTTGAATGAGTAGGTGTGTCCAAACTTTTGACTGGTACTGTACATCTTTCCCTTTTCACATCAACATCATGCAAGGCTGTGGCTTTTGTTAGAAGTTAGCAAATATAGCAGGGAGAAGCAAAGAGCAGGTTGTCTTTTGTTCCACCACAGACACTCAGCACATGCAGATTAGACGGCAGGTTATCATAGCTGGGCAGGCTACGGCAGGGCTCAGAGAAGGTTATGAAGAAGAAAGATTAAATCAGAAACAGGTGGCCCCCAGACAACCAGTAAAATCATGCAGAGAAAGAGAGACAGGGGAGGGGCAGGGAGATTAATGAAACATTCCTTTATTTTGATGTAGAAATGTGCCAAAGTCAATGTTGTTCTTTTCTATTGTTATGATTTTCTAAAGCCAATTGGTCTGCCAGTAAAAAAAAAAAAAAATGTAACAAAGAAAATAAAGTGAGTCCTGAGTGCAATTCAGATGTAGAGTTTTATTATTTTTTATTTAACCTTTATTTAACTAGGCAAGTCAGTTAAGAACAAATTCTTATTTACAATGACGGCCTACACCGGCCAAACCCGGACGATGCTGGGCCATACAGAGGTTAAAAGACTGCATATGTCAAGCAAGATATCTTGACAGTTCAATAAGACATATGCGTCATTCTCCCTAAATCGAACATTGGTTCATTTAAGTTTTATAAAGGCAGTTGCATAATACAGTGAGGGAAAAAAGTATTTGATCCCCTGCTGATTTTGTACTTTTGCCCACTGACAAAGAAATGATCAGTCTATAATTGTAATGGTAGGTTTATTTGAACAGTGAGAGACAGAATAACAACAAAAGAATCCAGAAAAACGCATGTCAAAAATGTTATAAATTGATTTTTTCATTTTAATGAGGAAAATAAGTATTTGACCCCCTCTCAATCAGAAAGATTTCTGGCTCCCAGGTGTCTTTTATACAGGTAACGAGCTGAGATTAGGAGCACACTCTTAAAGGGAGTGCTCCTAATCTCAGCTTGTTACCTGTATAAAAGACACCTGTCCACAGAAGCAATCAATCAGATTCCAAACTCTCCACCATGGCCAAGACCAAAGAGCTCTCCAAGGATGTCAGGGACAAGATTGTAGAACTACACAAGGCTGGAATGGGCTACAAGACCATCGCCAAGCAGCTTGGTGAGAAGGTGACAACAGTTGGTGCGATTATTCGCAAATGGAAGAAACACAAAATAACTGTCAATCTCCCTCGGCCTGGGGCTCCATGCAAGATCTCACCTCGTGGAGTTGCAATGATCATGAGAACGGTGAGGAATCAGCCCAGAACTACACGGGAGGATCTTGTCAATGATCTCAAGGCAGCTGGGACCATAGTCACCAAGAAAACAATTGGTAACACACTACGCCGTGAAGGACTGAAATCCTGCAGCGCCCGCAAGGTCCCCCTGCTCAAGAAAGCACATATACAGGGCCGTCTGAAGTTTGCCAATGAACATCTGAAGGATTCAGAGGAGAACTGGGTGAAAGTGTTGTGGTCAGATGAGACCAAAATGGAGCTCTTTGGCATCAACTCAACTCGCCGTGTTTGGAGGGTGTTTTTCTGCTAAGGGGACAGGACAACTTCACAGGATCAAAGAGACGATGGACGGGGCCTTGTACCATCACATCTTGGGTGAGAACCTCCTTCCCTCAGCCAGGGCATTGAAAATGGGTTGTGGATGGGTATTCCAGCATGACAATGACCCAAAACACACGGCCAAGGCAACAAAGGAGTGGCTCAAGAAGAAGCACATTAAGGTCCTGGAGTGGCCTAGCCAGTCTCCAGACCTTAATCCCATAGAAAATCTGTGGAGGGAGCTGAAGGTTCGAGTTGCCAAACGTCAGCCTCAAAACTTTAATGACTTGGAGAAGATCTGCAAAGAGGAGTGGGACAAAATCCTTCCTGAGATGTGTGCAAACCTGGTGGCCAACTACAAGAAACGTCTGACCTCTGTGATTGCCATCAAGGGTTTTGCCACCAAGTACTAAGTCATGTTTTGCAGAGGGGTCAAATACTTATTTCCCTCATTAAAATGCAAATCAATTTATAACATTTTTGACATGTGTTTTTCTGGATTTTGTTGTTGTTATTCTGTCTCTCACTGTTCAAATAAACCTACCATAAAAATTATAGACTGATCATTTCTTTGTCAGTGGGCAAACGTACAAAATCAGCAGGGGATCAAATACTTTTTCCCCCTCACTGTAAGCATGGCCACAGAGAGAGAGGGAGAAGGTAACTTTAGCTTGGCTATCCAGTTTCACCACATGCTTTGAAAACAGAAGTAGAGTTCATTCTCAAAGGTCAAGCAAATTAGGCCAGAGTCCAGAATAGGTTTATGCCCCTGAAGTGCTCCTCTATGGTGAATATAGACACTGAAAGTGACAATTCTAACTAACACTCAGAGGCTTTGGACAAGTACCAATATAACAATCCATTTATAATCTAGTTCTTCAGTGAAAAAAAACATTAAAATAAAGACAAAACAAATGAAAACTGGAATCAACTGCACCTTTAATAATATACTATCGAAATGTTACAAAAGGCAGGTATAAAGGTACAATAAAAAAAATAAAAATAAAAACATTGTGATATCTCGTGGTATTTAATAATACTGTTAGTTAAACTCGTGTTTTAACGCTTGTTATAAGCTATCCATAGCATCTCACTAGGCTATCGGTGCTGATAACAGAAGGCTTTCTGGCCAGTGACTCCAGAAAGATACTTAACCTACACATCTTTGTTCACAAGGCTAATTGTAGACAAACAGCTGTGAGCATCCTTTGAGCAGGGTCATCACAGAGCAGTGTCTACAGCTTCCAGAACAAGGCAGGACATGGGACTGTAGAGAAGAGTGCATAGCTAATCACTGGTACGTTGAAACAGTATTTTGTCACTCGCCAATGCAGCATCAATCTGTCAAATGACAGTAAAGAGTTCCTATATGCATAGCTTTTAATAGAGGCAACTATTGGCAGTGTGTAGTTTAACTGAACACTAACAAGGACATGACATGAAATAAACAGCTAAAATCTAATACAAGTACAGTAAAAACCTGAAAAGCCTTTTTTCTTTGTTTCTCAAATAAAAACATACCATTGGCAACTGAACATTTTACAATTTAGCAGGGAGTAGCCTATCTTAGTGATATAACTTTAAATATATACAGAAAATAGTTCCAAGAAGGTACAAGGCCGATATGTCCTAAAAACCTGAATTATTCCTCTTGTCCATTTGTAGACAGATAGACATTACCTCTTGGTAAAACCTCTACCTCGAAATACAAGTTTGCATGCATGTGCTGGTGTGGCAGCCAGCTCACTGAGTATTCCTACGTTTATCTGATTGTGCTTCTGAGATGGGATTGGTTGGTAGTTGGTAGGGGATTGAGATTGGTTAGGAGTGATGCAACAGAACACAATGAGTTAACTACTAACTCACGGCGGTGTAGTAGTACAGTAGTAGGTAGGCAGGGAGAAAGTGTGAGAGAGGAGAGCCCATTGCAAACAGACGGAGGACAAAAGGCACTGAGGAGGAGACAGACAGGAACAGGAAGCCCGGGACAGGAAGCACATCATCAGTGAGTCAATAGCTTAAGCCGCGTGATCCAACTGACCAGTAGCGAGGGCTCTGCCGGGGGGCGTTTGGAGGCAGGGGCTACGGGGGTCTTTTTGCTGTCCAGGTCGTGGTCCTGGTAGGGGATGGTGGCGCTGTTGTGAAGGTCCTGGTTGGCATAGTAGCGGCTGCCCCGGATGTGGTCCACCCCTCGGACCAGCTGCCGTTCCCCCACTGGCCTGTAGGTCGGCGCCACTGATGGGACCTCCTCAGCGATTGTGGGGATCCGCTCGTTGCTCAGGTATCTGTACAGGAGATCCTCGCCTGGAGGGGACAGTGGAGGGAAATGCACATCTTTAGTACAATTCTCTTACAAAAAAAGTCATACTTTGTACAAACACACGTTATTGAGAATAGCTTTTTGATTTTAGGGCATATCTTCAGTAGTCCTTAAATGTATTATAGAGAAGCACTGTCACATAAAAAAGAGGAGTACACTGGATCTCTACAGCATGTGTTGGCCATGGAGGAGCATTGCACAGGCATCTCAGCCAATTAAAGAATTCACCCACTCCTCTACCATTGCAGTGTAAATGGGTCTCCAGCAGAGAGACTGTATGATAGCTCTGTCTGTGCATTCATAGCCATGTGTCTGTTCTCTCAAAGGAGACTAGGGGATGAGGAACTGATCTTGTTGGTGTAAACTCTAGTTAATCCAATCTTGGCAAGAGCTACAGTATGGCTCTCAGTTGACACTAATCACATGCTTCATTCATTGGTAAATTAAGCAGAGGTACTATGCCTCCAATGTCATTGGAGGGGTGAATTCTATCATGTGTTCTCATGTATTTAGCTGTTGAAGGTGTGAACTGGATAATCTGATTGAGGTTGTGGTCCATTCGATTTCTGGTGGTTAAGTTGTTGTTCTGCAGTAACTCAGAAGATGGGTGAATGGCGTGTGTTTGTTACCTTTCCGGCCTTGTGTCCAGGGCTTGGCATAGGGATCTGCCACTCCAAGACAGGTGTCCACTGGCATGGAGAGGGGGCGGGGCTTACCTATGCAGAAATAACAAAAAGTTTGAATATTTTGTCTCTCTGGTTTTGAATATTGACTTGAATTCTATAATGAGTGGGCCTTGTGACTGTGGGGTAGGATACTACTAACCACGAGACGAGGTGTTGCGTTCCCTCATCCTGGGCTGAATTACGTTGGCCTCGATGGGGTAGACCACGCCCAGCTTGTCATAGTCTGCGATGGTGAAGCGTTTTCGACTCTCCAGGTCCAGGAAGGAATTGGGCGACTCAGAACCCTTTGGTCTGATTTTACTGATGCTAGAGTACGAGCTGATCTTACTCTCTCTGTGGACAGAAAATACTGATTAGCATCAATGTCCCATTTCATATGGGCGAGAGCACAAGGACAGAGATAAAATGAGTGAAATTTGCTTTATGCTGTTGCTCAGTCCCTAACTAAAGTTGCTGTGGATATGAGAGTCCACTAAATGGCTAAACAAATATATGATTCACTATCTGGTAAACATGGTGAATGCAGCAACAGCCTGCTCACTGCCATACATGGACAGAGAGGGAGGGAGAGAGACAGTGAGAGAGGGAGGGCGTCTGAGGCGGCAGATGAAACAGAGAGGCTGTTGCATAATGTCTGTGTGGCGTGAGCGGAGCAGGATGGAGACTGTACAACAGAATGTGCTCTGCTGTGGGGGTTTATAGGCGAGAGGCAAGGGGCGAATGATCAGGGGGCTGAACCACTCATTATCCAGACTTCAAAGCCAGGAGCATGGAGCTGGAGAATGAGTGTAGGATGTCTGTCGGGCAGAACACAGCAAATTCTAAACCTATAACTTGGGGCTAAAGTTTTTCCTGGTAACCCTCCTGGGTCTAGTGTACTTACAGGGGTACACACCGTGGAGTGTAGGGTACTAAGGGGGGAGGGGGGATGTACAGGTCCAGGATGGCTGGTTTCTCCTTCTTGGTGGAGCAGTCTGTGGACCAGCCTGGAGACTGGGTTTTGTTCAGGGAAGGGGTGCTCTGAGAAATAAAAAATACAATCCGTCAGAAAATGCTCCCCTCATAGGACCTAGTATAACTGATGGTGGGAAACAGCCAGCAGCATAGCTACATTACATGGATATATGTCTTAAAAGGTATCTACTATTTACATACTGTATAAAATCTAAACATAACTTGTTGGCAAGGAAGAGCGTTTCCCCATATGTCACATCCTATAGTCTACTCTAGCCGATTACTTTAGTATTTTTAAACTTCCAACATTCATTCCAGTAACGAATGGTTGATTACCTAAAGTCTCCACTACTGTATTTACATACCCTAGCCAAGTCATTCTAAACACTACTTGTTAGGAAGGAGGTGGATTACCGTACATATGGCAGGTCACTGACTAGGTATCCCTTTCCCTTTCCTATCCTACATTATATTTGCATATGTCTCTTTAAATCATTACAACCCTATTTAGAGAATCAAATCAAATCATATTTTATTGGTCACATACACATATTTAGCAGATGTTATTGTGGGTGTAGTGAAATGCTTGTGTTCCTAGCTCCAACAGTGCAGTAGCATCTAATGAATGGAACGATTTTGAGGGTAATCCAAAATAGCTGCAGCAACATACTTTTAAGAAACCATACTATTCTACCACAGCTCTGGTGCCATTTTAAAACCACACTACTTGGTAAATTGACCATGTTCAGTTTCACTCTGTGTCAAACACAGTAGATACTGGTACGTCTACTCTCTCCTCCTCCCCTATAACCAGGATACCTGTAGAACCCAGAGTGTCACTCCTGAATCACTGTGTGTGATCCACCGACTCCTCTCTCTTATGATTAAACTCAAGATGTAGCGCTTTGATTCCTGACACCTTGTTCAAACACGGCGGTGGACAAGTCCAGAATGATCTGGTGTCTTTGTGATGAAAGGTTCTTTGTTAAGTGAAACCATCTCTGGTCTGATATCATGTGATCTGATCTTCCCAAGGCAGAAGCAGCCTCCAGAGGCAAACGAGGCAGTGCCAGGACCAGAGCACAGGTTCGGTTACAACAGCCTATTGTTCAATATGGAGCACCAGTTACTGCAGTCAGGGCTCAGGTGCATTGCTGTGGCTAAGAGCTTAGCCAGATCCTAATTGTCCCCATATGAGAAGAGTGGTGAATTGGATTACCATTACATAACTTTATTAACACAGACTTGATTCTCCGCTAACACAAACCTTTGGGGTTTTAACGTTCTCAAAAGAGGGTGTACCCAAGCCCTTTGTGAGCTGAATCACTGAGCGACCTATTGAAAGACTTGTCTTCCATGGAGACTGGTTGACTAGCCACATCAATACAGGCCATACCACTGGGGATTCCCACACTACTGCTGGATGTTGATCTGATTCTACACTCACACCTACACAAACCACTTCCAAAGCAGATATTTGCCCCCTCTCTCCTCTTCTTCACTGAAGGAGATGCTATCTTCTGTCTCTGCAGACTGACTCACAGACTGCTGGCTGCCACTACTGATGACCCAGTCTGAGTGACATCATCATCAGTGTGTGAGTGCAGTAGCTGTTGTTTTCTTCAGATGCCGTCACTGAATGGAGAACAGCTCTACATTGTCCTCAGCCCTGGAGCTTCCAGGATCTTTTCCTCCAACTCTCAGGGTGGGTCCTACACTTGTCTAGGCTTGTTACACTCAAACACTTCTCCCTACTCACTCATGAGGCACATTCAACAAAAGGTAATATGAACAATAACATAACACTGCCTTGGTAAGAACACCAAAAGTAAAAGATTAAGGGGTTTGGGGTGGGCACCTGTGCCATGGGCGGTTTCCAGCGCATGTTCTTGAGAGGGGCAGGTGTGAACCCGCAGGTGCCTGTAGGCCTCTTCTTCAGCAGAAGGACCACACCTTTAGGGTCCTCTCTCAGCTTCCCCACCAGGTTCTTCAGCTGCCAGCCCACCTGAGACAAGGCACAACAGCACAGATAGATCAGTGTATCATAGCGGAGGTCAACAGAAAGAGGCACACCAAGAAACAAGGAAAATAATAATTATGTCACACTGTAGTCAGGTCAACTGCAAAGAACACATTCTAGCTGCTTAAAACTTTCTCTGTGACAGGTGTCAGAGATAACAGGTGCTGGGCGCTCACCACTGTCTGCTGGTTGACCTGGATCACCTCGTCACCCCCATGGATCTTCCTTGTCATGTCCGCCGGGGACTGACAACACAAAGAGGAGAGGACAGGTTTAGTATACAAACCCCACAAGCTCAGAGACACCACCTTGATGTAATATTAGCTCCTGGATAAGTCCAGCTTCATCTGTTTGCTTTGTCGTCAGAAGTGCCATGTATGGGCTTGTTACGAAACAGACCACTTAATAAGCCCCTGAGGAAATATACGTTTTACATAACTCTGACTAAACAACACAAACGCCCTCTTTATGAATACGTTGTCACATTATGCATGAGAATGTCAAAGGGATGAATGAGTCATATGATGAGTTAAGGTTTGATTCATCCTTAACGACTGGAGGCATGATAATTAGGCTGTAATAGCGCTGCTGCCAATGTTCCTCTGAAGGAGGATGCTTTACTGTTGAAGTTTATTGTGATTCTTAATGGATGATGGAGACAGGAACAGCTATATTATTTAACCTCTAAACACCTCCTTCCCTCTCTCCACTGCTTGATAAGGAACACATTTACACTGCTATCCTAGCTCGGTGGTAAACAGCAATGCCCTCGACCACCCTAAGAATGGGAAGAGGAGGAGGGCAGGGTGGGATGGAAAGAAGATGTTCTGTTTGAAGCCAACCCTTAACTGTCTCCCCATCAGACCTTGGCACATGGCAACTATTGTTCATGCATAACATTAAGAGTCGCTTTACCAACTGGATTTATATTGAAACATGTGAGAAGTAGATAAGACAAGACATAAAAAGGTGCACATTTAAACCAACTGAACAAAAGGAGAAAAGTGCATTCACTAAGATGGTTTTCACTAAGATCTACTAAGTTGTTATTCTGTGGCCACCATACTTACATGCTCTGTGGTCCCTGTGATGACATGAAGTCCATCATAGGTAGATTTGATGTACATACCCTGTAGGAATATGAACATGAGGAACATGAATTAGCATTTCTGAGACAGTTTGAACTTGTGAGAAATTTGAGGTGCACTAGATAAATGTAGCTAGTAATTCAGTGGGTTTGGGGTTAAACTGGAAACTCCCATGCAGCATTCCTCACCAGTCCCTCCCCAGGCTTGATGTTGTTGAGCTGAACTTCATCCAAGCATGCTGATTGGCTCATCAGAGGGTCAGAGGTTGTTCTCACGGTCTGGTCACAGATGCTGTTCAGAACCTTGGACTGCAATGAGAGAGCGGGGAGGAAACCCCTTTAAGCAACACAGAAAAACCAAACAAACAACCCAAAGAATGAAAACAAAATCTCATGGAATTTCATGAATCCATTTCATCTAATTCATTTGATTTAATGTAAGTTGTATTGTCACACAGTGACTGTGTGCTTCATGATTGCTGTGATTACATGACCAGCCCAGAATTTAATGTCCTGTCACCTGACTGTGATTATGCAGCTACCGCCTGTCACCAAAGAGGTGTTCTTTTTGTGGCTGTCTGTATTCAGTCAGTGTTAGAGGGGCGGACTGGCGGCCAGGCGGTCTGGTGAGGAGAGGCCCTGTACTCAGCAGCCAGTCACTGGGGAAATTGTCACACTCCCCAGGGAAGAGGGGTGAGAGGAGGGGTGAGGGAGAGAGGGGTGAGAGGAGGGGTGAGGGAGAGAGGAGGGGGGCGAGGGGTGAGGGTCATTCATGTGCCATTAGCTGGTTCCACAGCTTTCTCTCCCCTCCACACCTCTCCTCACTCCCTGCCTACCCCCCACCCCCCTCTTCTCCATTCTAGGTCATTATGGACAATCTCACCACTTTGTCATCATTAGTAGGGGCATTTTAGTGACGCTCAGAGAAGAAAGAGCTTTTTTCTTCTCAGGCAAGTAACAAGCATAATGTCTGAACACTCACAACTACACAGTTGTGCCTACATACAGATGTGGACAGTCACACGTTAATAAATTAACCTTATTTTAGCTCTAATCAAATTTTCTGTTGACCACACAAGTCTATTACCAGATCACTTGACCCAGAATCACTGAAATGCTTCTATTCACCATTGATTGGGACCAGGCTGTAACTAGAGTTTTTCCGGGTCAGTTCATTGAACAACAAGTTCGGCATGGAGAAGACTCTAAACAGTGTAGAGAGTAGTCTAGCTATTGTGTGTGTCTGCAGCAGAGTTCATCAAGGGTATCTGAGAGGGAAGAGGTCCAGTGTCAGCTCAGAGTCTGGAGAGTGTCAGGGACAGGAAACTGATTGATGGCCAGGGCGCATTTTAGCCGCCTCTTTTACCAGAGGGCCATAGCCCCTGCCTGTACTATTAACGCTGAGGGAGACTGCCCTGAAAGCATGTCACCTTATCTCCATGTAAAAGATTATAGATCTACGTCTCCCCAAACGTTCTAACAGACTTTCCCAGAGTGCTCCTATAGAAAGTGGGAATGTGGAAACAACAAAGAGGGGAGATATACTTACAACTTCCAGGATCTTTTCCTCCATCTCATAAACAGTGCAGTCCTGTGGAGGAGGAGAGACATGTTAGATGGGCTGCCTTCTCAATGCTCCACAGCAACACACAGGAAGAGGCTATTTCACCGCAAAGATAGTAAATAAAAACCTAGGGTAAATATGATGTGATCAAATATCCAGATATACACTATATATACACAAAAGTATGTGGTCACCCCTTCATATTAGTGGATTCGGCTATTTCAGCCACACCCATTGCTGGCAGGTGTAAAAAATAATTGGGAGCTTCATGAAATTGGTTTCCATGGCCAAGCAGCCGCACACAAGCCTAAGATCACCATGCACAGTGCCAAGCGTCAGCTTGAGTGGTGAAAGCTCGCCGCCATTCGACTCTGGAGCAGTGGAAATGCTTTCTCTGGAGTGATGAATCACGCTTCACCATCTGGCAGTCCGACAGACGAAACTGGGTTCGGCGGATGCCAGGAGAACGCTACTTGCCCCAATGCAGTGCCAACTGTAGAGTTTGGTGGAGGAGGAATAATGGTCTGGGGCTGTTTTTCATGGTTTGGGCTAGGCCCCTTAGTTCCAGTGATGGGAAATCTTAACGCTACTGCATACAATTACATTCTAGACGATTCTGTGCTTCCAACTTTGTGGCAACAGTTTAGGGAAGGCCCTTTCCTGTTTCAGCATGACAATGCCCCCGTGCACAAAGCGAGGTCCATACAGAAATGGTTTGTCGAGGTCGGTGTGGAAGAACTTGACTGGCCTGCACAGAGCCCTGACCTCAACCCCATTGAACACCTTTGGGATGAATTGGAACGCTGACTGCGAGCCAGGCCTAATCGCCCAACATCAGTGCCCGACCTCACTAATGCTCTTGTGGCTGAATGGAAGCAAGTCCCAGCAGCAACATTCCAACATCGAGGCGGCAAAGTGGTACATTGTAAGGACCATATCCTCTAACTTCAAGGTGACCAACAACCCACTCTCAACCCATATCACACAAGTTTTTTTAATTATTGTTCTTTGGAGACTTCAGTAAACAAAAACACTGTTTAGAGCTGGGTTCCCATGTATTTGATATGTAGGCGAGTCTCCTGCAGTTACAATAAAGAAACAGTAGCTGCTGTGTGACTACCAGGGGGCAGGAGAAGCCAGGAACATCCTACAGTAACTGCTGTGTCAGCCACAGACAGAAGCCCCTCGGCCCTGGCCCTCTCCCAGGGTCCCCCTTCCCTTCCTTTCCCAGACTGCAGCTGGGCCTGCCTGGGCTCACAGCTGAAGTAACAGCCTCCTAAGACAGCTGGGGGACTTGGGGGCCTGGGGTCCGGTGGTGAAAGGACCCCTGGTTATGGCTGGTCAGAGGGGGCCACTGTTGCTGAGTGCCGCCCCCCCGGCTATGCAGGGTATGTCCCAAAAGGCAGCCGTCCTTAAACTCACAGGTGGCTGAGTTTGGTAATTATAGAGTCCGATAGGTCAGTGACTTGTATTGAGGCATCACTGCCATTGCGCTGCTCAATGTCAACAAACAAGAACTTGAGGAGCCAGGATGTGTAACCTAGTAGTAAAGTTATTGTGTGTGGACATCGATTGTCCATAAAGGCAGCTCTGTTGTTCTTTGTAAATCCTTTGTGAAGACAACGTATGGGGGACGACCGAGCATTTCCATATTCCCCTACCTTGCACATTCCTATGGCCCAAGGGGGAGGAGTATCTGTGTGCAAATGCACTTGGCTTGTCAGCCCATTGTTGTATTTGAATGGACAAGATTTGCTAGCTTATCGGTGAAAGCCATGAAGGCTGAATATAGCAGAGCACTGGTTTGTCCTTTAGCGCCATGAGTTTGATCTGCACTGAGCAGAGTGTTTTCTTTTGGGATACTGATGCACATACAGTGGGGGGAAAAAGTATTTAGTCAGCCACCAATTGTGCAAGGTCTCCCACTTAAAAAGATGAGAGGCATGTAATTTTCATAATAGGTACACGTCAACTATGACAGACAAAATGAGAAAAGTCCAGAAAAAAAATTCCCCAAATCCAGAAAATCACATTGTAGGATTTTTTATGAATTTCTTTGCAAATTATGGTGGAAAATAATTATTTGGTCAATAACAAAAGTTTCTCAATACTTTGTTATATACCCTTTGTTGGCAATGACACAGGTCAAACGTTTTCTGTAAGTCTTCACAAGGTTTTCACACACTGTTGCTGGTATTTTGGCCCATTCCTCCATGCAGATCTCCTCTAGAGCAGTGATGTTTTGGGGCTGTCGCGGGGCAACACGGACTTTCAACTCCTTCCAAAGATTTTCTATGGAGTTGAGATCTGGAGACTGGCTAGTCCACTCCAGGACCTTGAAATGCTTCTTACGAAGCCACTCCTTCGTTACCCGGGCGGTGTGTTTGGGATCATTGTCATGCTGAAAGACCCAGCCACGTTTCATCGTCAATGCCCTTGCTGATGGAAGGAGGTTTTCACTCAAAATCTCACGATACATGGCCCCACTCATTCTTTCCTTTACACGGATCAGTCGTCCTGGTCCCTTTGCAGAAAAACAGCCCCAAAGCATGATGTTTCCACCCCCATGCTTCACAGTAGGTATGGTGTTCTTTGGATGCAACTCAGCATTCTTTGACCTCCAGACACGACGAGTTGAGTTTTTACCAAAAAGTTATATTTTGGTTTCATCTGACCATATGACATTCTCCCAATCCTCTTCTGGATCATCCAAATGCACTCTAGCAAACTTCAGACGGCCTGGACATGTACTGGCTTAAGCAGGGGGACACGTCTGGCACTGCAGGATTTGAGTCCCTGGCGGCGTAGTGTGTTACTGATGGTAGGCTTTGTTACTTTGGTCCCAGCTCTCTGCAGGTCATTCACTAGGTCCCCCCGTGTGGTTCTGGGATGTTTGATCATTTTGACCCCACGGTGTGAGATCTTGTGTGGAGCCCCAAATCGAGGGAGATTATCAGTGGTCTTGTATGTCTTCCATTTCCTAATAATTGCTCCCACAGTTGATTTCTTCAAACCAAGCTGCTTACCTATTGCAGATTCAGTCTTCCCAGCCTGGTGCAGGTCTACAATTTTGTTTCTGGTGTCCTTTGACAGCTCTTTGGTCTTGGCCATAGTGGAGTTTGGAGTGTGACTGTTTGAGGTTGTGGACAGGTGTCTTTTATACTGATAACAAGTTCAAACAGGTGCCATTAATACAGGTAACGAGTGGAGGACAGAGGAGCCTCTTAAAGAAGAAGTTACAGGTCTGTGAGAGCCAGAAATCTTGCTTGTTTGTAGGTGACCAAATACTTATTTTCCACCATAATTTGCAAATAAATTCATTAAAAATCCTACAATGTGATTTTCTGGATTTTTTTCTCAATTTGTCTGTCATAGTTGACGTGTACCTATGATGAAAATTACAGGCCTCTCTCATCTTTTTAAGTGGGAGAACTTGCACAATTGGTGGCTGACTAAATACTTTTTTCCCCCACTGTATAACATCTATATTTTCCTTTGCCAGAACAAACTTGGAGGGAAAACTAATAAGCATAAAATACCAACATAGGTTTCAGTTTTGGTACCAAAACACAATGCTTCCCCCTCAATTACTTTCCAACGCGGCCAAGGATGTGTGATGGTTTTGGAAGGAATTTGGCATGACTTCCATCACAAACCAGTACACATTTTAGCCATAAATAGGTCTATATTTGGATGACTAAATCATGTCAAGACGGATATGCTAAAAAGACAGATTTAGTGGGTTTGGGTTCAAAAACATTGACTAAACAGTATCATAATACGCCACAGATTTGATTTGTTAAAAACTGTGCCAAACTGAATCACATGCAGATTGTTTTATATCAAAGCAGAAAATGATTGCATAATATGAATATAATATTCTTGGACATAATCTTTCAGATCTGTGTTTTTTTTACATAATCCTTTGGAAGATCTGTGGAACACAAAATTATCTTGTATCTGCATCGAACACAGAACTGAAGCATTCTTCATACATAAGCCAGATCAAAACCAAGACCAGAGGGAAAGACTGAGGAAACGTTCTCTGGGTATAGCAGCGAGTCCTCAGCCTCTTCATGCCATGGTCGTCCTCCCACAGCAGACTGGGATCAGATGACTCCCCAGACGGCCCTGCAGCCTTTGATCTGTAACCAGAGAGGAATTGTCCAGCCGAGCGATAAAGTGGCAAAAAGAGAAGACTGCTGGCACAACATTCCAACATGGAGCCATTTACACAGCTGACCAGACTGGACTGATGTACAGGATCTTACAGAACAAGATATCAAAACACCGTGAGGACTCAGACGTGCCCTCCAGACTTCCCTTTCCTCCTGGGGCGGCAGGTAGCTTAGTGGTTAAGAGCGTTGTGCCAGTAACCGAAAGGTCGCTGGTTCTAATCCCAGAGCCAACTAGGTGAAAAATCTGTCAATGTGCCCTTGAGCAAGGCACTTAACCCTAATTGCTCCTGTAAGTCGCTCTGGATAAGAGCGTCTGCTAAATGACTAAAATGTAAATATTATCTCATCACTTAGTGTTTGACCCGACTGCCTTGCAAGAAGACTGAGAGCAAGCTCTCACCTCACGGGTCAGATGAGATGGCTGCATGTTCGTGGTTTCATTGCGGTGTTCTATTGTACGTGTATACATAGGGTTCATTCAGCCAGGATGACATAAATCATCCATCCTAAAAGCCCTGTTCATGGGGGAGGTTCATGAACAGGCCATGTCACCTCATGAAGTCCGCCCACACCATAAAAATCACAGTGATACTCCCCCACAGCGCGTTTGGGAGAGTTCAAGCATGTCTAAAGACTATGTGAGATACACTGGTCCATGAGAGCATTGGAGGTAACTTCCTGCATGTGTCTGTGACAGGCTAAGGTAGCCCCTGGGTGAACTGTAGAGATATCCACCTGGGCCTCTCACACAGGCCATGGAGGCCAAGGGGTCTGCTACAGTACACCACAGCAAAGCTGCAACAGGCATCCCTGGAGCACAAGGCTAACGCCACACAAAAACCTTCACTTCAAACGCCTCCGTGGGAAACGTCTACCCTCAGCTCCCCCTCTCCTCCTCCTCCACACCCAGGGTGAGACCCAAAACAGTAAATCACCGGGCCGCTGAAATCCCAGACATCGGCGAGGCAATCGGCACTCAGGGAACGGAAATTACTCGATGCAATAACCTTTCAAAAGCGGCACCTGCAGTCTCAACAGCCACTTTCACTATGGGTATAAAATGTAAAGCCTGTTTATCAATTGTTGGGATACCCTGGAGAAAGAAACTGTCAAAAAGAAGCTTGGCACTGTGCTACTCTCTGTTGGGTCTTTAACTAACCCCTTTCTATAAATCTGATATAAATAGAGCCTTAACAATCTGACCGCCCATGGCCAAATCAAACACATTTAATCTAGAAGAATGTTTGGTAATTCACTACTTTTTAAGGGGAGGTAAATATCTAATATGTGGCAGTGAAGGAGAGCACCGTACCAGCTCCTCAACCCACCGTGCACTAATCCTCCACAGGATGTACACACAGACAGTATGCGCTCCCGCTGGGGGGGGGGGGGGGGGGTGGGGGGACTGGAACCAGATGGCCAGGGGAATAATGTAGCCTGCGGAATGGTGGCATATGCTTTTTAAAGAGCACCAGAAGTTTTTATGAAACTGTAAACGCAGAGGCTGCGATTAACGTTAAACACCACCATGGTTGGGGGTCTCCTCATTAGCTAACCTGAGGAGTGGGGGGGGGGGGGGGGGGGGGTACTGTGTTCAGACAGGCTACTGGCTTCAGGATGATGTCATATCATAGCCCCCCCCTTCTCCTCAGGTCTCATAACCCCCTGCTCCTTTACTTAATCCTACATGTGTATGCCCACAGGCTAGTCTGCCCTGAGTGGAAAGAGCTATGGGGTGGTTTTTCAAGTTACACGTGCACTGTTGAGAGTGCCCGTGTAAGGGAGCTGGAGCGAGAGAGAGAGAGAGGAAAAGGGAGAGAGGGAAAGGGCGAGAGAGCATGCATACCTGTTGAACTGTGGTGGTGAGGTCCAGACACAGCTGAATGATCTTATTCTTGGTGGTGGTGAAGTCACTGATCCCAGTCAGGGGCGTCCTGCAACCAGAGAGAAGATTGAGAGGCCATCTTAGCATTACATCCTCAGGTCATGTTCCTGACCACACGGAGATGCAGTAGCTGTCAGGAGAGCTGGATAAGGGGGTAAATCTCACAGTGGAACAACAGAGTGACATAGAGCCACTAGGATGCTGTTAATAGGGAAAGAACAGTCCTGGTGAACCTTGCTCTGCTTTCTGTGTGTCTGGGGTAGAAGGCTCTGTGGTCAAAGACAGTGGTTGGAAGGAACACAGTGTGTCGCCATATTGGAGCTTCCTTCTCCATTCCTCCTCTCAAACACGCACCCCTGAACTCCAAAAACACAGCTCTCTAACGCTATCCCCTCAACCACAGTGGGGCCCCCAAATATGTTGGGAGATCATCATATTATATACATTTTGGATCTGGAAACAAACCTCAGAAAAAACTAAAATAAGGTCAACATGGTAACATGACTACTACTACTTTCAGAAAATACTACTTTTGGTTAAGTTCATTGACAGAGAGTGATCTTTAAAACAAATGCTATGAAAATAATCTGCATCATACATGAGCAGTACATTATATCTAGATTGACTCTGAAATCTCATCTGGATATTCTCTGGACAATGACTAGACAGAGGTAAAGGAAACCTCCAGACTTGTATCCAATTTTATTCATATGTCCTCAAACCCTTTCTAGTAAACTCTCCTGAGAGAGAAGAGCTGTGTTTCTGCTATAGTCTGTAAAGGCTGAGGAAAACCAATGCCTGTAATGTGTAGCGTAGCAGCATATTCTAGTCATGAGGTGATTCAGTGAGCTCAATGACTCCTATGCGTAGGAAATTCTAACATTACAGCTAACCCCAATGGCAGTCCGTGAGCTAGAATGTATATAGCAGATTTTATGTAGCTAGGACTCTCGTATTTTACGGCAGCTATGCAAAGTTACCATGGAGGTTAGGTCTTACCTGTCCAGCCAGGCCAGCAGGCTCTTGGCGGCTCCGATGAGCTCCACTACAGAGGTTAGGAAGTCGTTGGGAGGTTTCCGGGATGTGCTGCCATCGTACGTCGGGCTCTTCCTGCGGTCTGACGTGGACATGTGCAGGCCGTTGGTGGCCGCTCTCATCCTCACCACCAGACCCTTTAGGTTGTCTGTCTCCACTCCGTAGTTCTGAGAGGGGAAGAAAGGAGAGAAGATTTGAGTTTGAGAGGTTATCGTTTTAGTGTTAGTCATAGAAGAAAGTGTACAGTATGTTACAGTGAATGTCAATCAATGTCATAGCAGCCACATTCTTGGTCGGAACAGTTTATCCAGATGTTTACGGCTCTAGATTTCATTTCACAGACAAACATGTTGTTTCCTGCAGAGTAAATGTGGGTTATTCATTGTAATGCTCTATGAAACACACGATTTAAGAGGCCATGTCTCTCTCGGCACCTCTGGGGTGAAATTCCCCTGCATTCTTTATGTCCATCTCTGGCTCAATCCTTGGGAGGGAGGCGTCACCCCAGATTCCCACACCGGATTCCCATAAAGCAGGCAAAGTTTGCATTCCTGATCCAGGCTATGTCCTCCTTGTGCATTCCACTAATTTACAGACCCTTCACACAGACAAAAATAAGGGGCTTCAGGGGTCATGAGCAGCAGACAGACATATAATGTATAATGCTCTGTCTACTGTTCATTCCTTTGATTCCTATTGCCCTTACAACCCTGACCTGCTTCAGGGAAAGTGATTAGGCAAATGATTGACAGACACACCAAACCTAGTTTTCACTTCAACTGTGTAGAAAGAGATTTTCTCTTTCAGAGTTAACGACCCTGAAAATACCAAGCTGATATAAATGGGTCCTATTGGCCAAATGAAATCCCTTATTTGAGGCCAATGTTATGCGCATGTTCATTGTAATACTTCTGACAGCCAACTTTCTAGCTATGCCCACAACTTCCGGACTTCATAGCATTCCCAGAAAGCATGGATTATTAGTTTTACACTTAAGACATGACTCTGCCGTTATGCTGTGAATTTGTGAATATTTCCTGTTGTATAATACATTTTATACATTAGTTTATACTGGATTAAGCATTGGATTGTTAGTTATGCTCCAACTTTCCCTCCATCTTGTGCCAACATCAGGTATATTGTTTAGAAGTAATAACTAGAAAGGACTGAAATACATTCTGTAGATAACTAGCTAGCCATGTGCTTTTTTTCTCCATGACCAAAACATGATGACTTTCTATTTTTAGCTGATATGGGAATGAATACACAAGTAGGATATCAAACTGGGACAATGTTTTAGGTTACACTGGCAAGTATAAGAATTTTTGCCAGGGCATATTTTGGTAAAATTATAAATCTGATTATTTCACATGCAGATGTGGGAAGCTAAAAAGGCTAGCTAGCTTGCTATGTTTTTAGCCAGGCTAAAGCCAGCTAGCCAGACTGCCAGCTAGCTACTACAGTAGCAAGGGAAGGCGACACTTCTTTGCTTTCACAAAATGAAAAGACAGAAATGTTCAAACTTTGATACTTGTGAATGGGAGTGGGACCAGAGGGGATATCGTGTTATCATCTGTGTTATCAAAAATCCCACTCCACCCTCATGCAGGCAGGTACATCAAAGGAGTGAAGCTTGTAGTAACCTTAACCAGGGCCTGACTACCGCATTTGGGCCACCAAATTGGAAGTTTTATGCTATTCTACACATTTTGTCACGAGGCTAAGAGAAAATGTTGCAGTTTTAAAGCCAATTTCCTTCAAATTCTACACTTTTTGCCATGTGGCAGATTTTTGTTTTTGCTGTTTTATAGCTCATTTCATGCTTTTGTTCACATTTTGCCATTAAAATTAGAGAATTGTGCAGTTTTAAAGCAAATTCCCTGCTATTCTAAACATTTTGCAAAAAGGCTGACAGAAAATGTTGCAGTTTTAAAGCTAATTTCCTGCAATTCTACACATTTTGCCATCATATGCTATCTGAGGGTACTCGACCTCAAGGGGGCCCTGGGGAGCACGTGCCCTGTGTGCCCGTTTGGTAATATGTCCCTGACCTTAACACAGATTCTGGTCAGGTTCAGACTGTAATGCTCTTATCAAACGTCACAGCAGCTACATTCATCATGACGTCAGTCAGCTGCTTGCTCTGGTTAGTGTAGCACTGCATTAAAAACACTTCTACATTTTACATTTTAGTTTGGCCAAGTTCTTCTCCTCCGCCCCCCAAAAAAATAATAATAATAAAAGTAAGATGGCTCACAGGGTGTTGCATCCATGCCAGCCTCGCTGGCCTAAGCCTGACTGGCATGCTAACGGCTAAATACGCTAAAGAGCAGAAAATAGCCTGTGCTCGCTCGGCCCAGCTCCACACTGAGGAAACCTGTAAGTGATCAGCAGCTAACTCCACTCAGCTGACGTTTTATATTAGGAGCATTTACTCAGGAACAGATTATATATTACTTACCTCATCCTAGAGTTGTCCCCAACGAGCTGCATGGGGCTGAGGTAGCAATCAATCAAATTGATTTATAAAGCCCTTTTTAAAATCAGCAGATGTCACAAAGTGCTATACAGAAACCCTGTCTAAAACCCCAAACAGCAAGCAATGCAGATGTAGAAGCACGGTGGCTAGGAAAATCCTGTGCAAACTCACAACACGTACAATTTCCCTCATCTCACTTAGTAAATCAAACATCCAAATTGCTCTTTCAGAGGTCCACCGAGACACGAAGAGCCTCAGGTCATTATGGGAACCTCATTAACTTTAGGCAGATTTATACTTGGAGAAGAAATTGAGAAAAGATGCATCTAAATATCTCAGACACTCTAAAACCCAACACTGGTCCATGAAAAGACACACAGCAACTGTGTTGCACCAAAACAGATATAGTGAGACTTTGACACTAAGCTGTGGAGAGCCAGTTAAGATCAAACAGCACTCCTGGCTTTGTCATTAGCGGGCTAATCACACACAGAAACACCAGCTCTGACTGCTACGCAGATGTTCAATACCTCCCCGTCACATAGCTGTAGCAACTTATAGGAATAGTGACAAGGTGAATAATGTGTATTTCAAATCAAATTCACTACATTTCAATCCGTCTTATTATGGGCACTGCTTAGCTAGCATCGAGAAAGCAGAGAAGTGACTGTTGTGAAAAGGATCTGCTTGGGCCTCCAGATAGGCCCTGTATCCTGACATGGACATGGAGAAGTGTTCACAGGAGACCTGAGGAGGGCTATCACAACAGGTTCTTCCTGCCCCTCACTGCAGGGGCCCAACGGTACGCATCACCTGACACCACCAGAGAAACACAGCAGGAACATGTCCCAAGATGGGCGTTCCCACACCCCACCCCCGTCAATCAGCCAGGTGGGGGCCACATCTGTTTCCTGCTCCTGAAGAGAGAGTCTGGTACGCTCCTCCAAGGGACAGGTCCACAGTGGACAGTAAAACACCACACAGCAGTTTCCACCGCACTACTTTGCCGCTTCACCTTTAATATCTACTCCTGGAAAAACAGAGGTGTTGGGTTTCAAGATGGGTTTCTGCAGAAGTCATCATGGTTTTGAGAGTCCCAGTTTGAATAATTAACATGTTCTTCCTCTGTCTCCAGAGACCAGTTTTCTCAGATGGCTTTTGCCTGGTGTGAGCTGTAATCTGAGTGGTACTGAAGGGCTACATTAACTCAGCCAGTCTAACATCCTGCTGAGGGGAAGGGACTGTGGCTCCATGACCAGTACAGGGGATATCTGGTCTACCGTGAAAGGACTGCTGTATGACCACAAAGAGAAGAGATGGACTGTTTGACCCAACAGCGAGAGGGTCTGGTGTTTGTCAGCTGGTTGTTCCACTCATAAGCTGTGACCTCTCCCCAGTTAAATTTAATTGAAACGAGGGTCTGTCTTCCTCCTGTGTGGCCAGTGAGACCGGGGCCTCTGTTAATAAGGAGAGCCACAGCAGATCAGCATGACCAGCTTGTTTACCCAGGGTTCCTCAAATCAGGGGTGCGAGGAGCGTTTCCGTGTCACTGATGGCCCGGCATTCCAAACCCAGGTTCACTAGCGGGGGAAACGAGTACGACTAAACATCCTCTCTGATCCTCTGTCTGAATGACATAACATAATCATCCTCTCCTAACAGACTCAACTTACTTCGAGAAATAACAAAGGCTCTGGACTGGGAGAAGATTTGTTAAAGATAACACACGCTGGGGAAACACAGGTTAAATTTATGAAGCCCATCAAGAGAAAACAATGAGGCTTCACTAAATCGCTGGCTCTGGGGGTAAGCAGAAATCTGGGCCCAATTACCCTGAGCATAGAGGAAGGGATTCTGGACTCAGTGTTGGGGAGTAGTGAACTACATTTAGTTCAACTAGTAATTTAATTACATTTGGCAGTAGCTTGATGGTAGTTGAACTATATTCAAATATTGATAGTGTTGCCATGTAGTGGTGTAGCTAACTACTGGAACTACACACTACTTTTTTTTTAGCAAAAATAAAATATGGGTGAAGTAGGCAAGAACGTCCTTTCTTTTTCAGCATCAGACCTGCCCAACTCTCACTTCAAACACTTTTTGTGTGCCCAATTCTCACTTGTTGTGTTTAATAGGCTAAATTACATTCTGTTAACATCTGACTCCAGAGTGATCTGTTCTTGCAATTTGTAGTCTATGACATTTCAGATTTAGATAAAAAAATTCACAAAGTACTTTTTCTAAGTAACTTCAGTTAAGTAAGCTATATTTTTCTTAAGGCTAGCTTTAGTGTAGCTTAACTTCTTCCAGTGTGAAGTCATTGGTAGCTTGGTAAACTATATTTTCAGAGTAGCATCCCCAACACTGTCTGGACTGAAGGATGTACGGTACTATACATAACATATGACACAGATTCATCATAGCATAAGCATTACCCTTTCCCTCTGTAAAAAGCGTTTCCATGTGTCCGTTCCCAATGGTCACAGTATCACAGTTACTGCCTAGGGTCTTATCTCTTCAAGCTGTTATCACCATCTCTGCTCCAGAGAGGGATGCTCAGACACTATCCAACAACACTTCCCAATGAATATTCCCTAGAGATGATGAATCAAGGAACAACAGGCTTCAGAGGTCCGTCTCCGGCCTTGTGTCGGATTATCCCAGGATCAGGATCCCACAGCTGGACATAGACATGGGGCTCAGGGCACTCAGACTGGCAGCTACCATGCTGGGGTTAATCAATGTGCCGCTCTCCCCATCTGAATCTCAACCTTAAACATCAGAAGCAAACTAACCAGGATCAGATGTCAAGGGCAAGAACCCCACTCATGTTGAACCATAGACCACACCAGGCTCCTCTGGCATTTAGGTGGTGGGTATTTAGCAGTGCCAGCTAAGTGAGATCTGTTTGGGTAAAGTGAGCTGTTGGTCTACTGCTTAAAGTCATGAACTTCCTTTTCTACAGAATAAATGCAAGATCAGAGAGCATTGCAGGATAAAATCTAAAAGGACATGCTCTTTTTAGGAACTTGATAGAGGAAGAATCTGTAGTGCGAGCCATTTTAAAGGAGCATAAGGATTTCACACAAAAAAACGCTGACACTGATCAAAACTTAAGACCGCAATCTGGGCTGACACAGGAAACGATAAAAAACCAAATCAATCCCATCTGTTTGAAAACCTGGTTCTGTTTCAGTCTGAGCTTGGTGAATGTTTTAGGAGCGCCTCTCTCCCTCTCTCTGAGCTTTAAGACAGTCGTGTTGACCATAACTCTTCTACTGGCAGCTCTTTTGATGGATGGCCGGTCGCCAGGCTAGAAGGCCGCATCGGCATTCCCATGAGCCACTGGGGTGCGAGACAAGGCTGAGGCCAGGAGTGCACTGGGAATGTAACAGCTGACCTGACATTTCGCCCTCTCTCTGTGTGTGTGTGTGTGTTTGTGTTTGTGAGAGAAACAGAAGGATAGAGATACACCCATTTCTTCTCTTCATTCCCTTCATGTCCTGTCAAACAGGTCTAAGTGATGTGATTCCCCATCTGACCACTACTAGTCATCAGCTCAAATCTAACCACCACACCAGACCTGGAGCCCATAGAGCCTGATTAAAAAGCCTGATTTCCCTCCACCTGGACTGAAATAGAGCTTTTCCTACTCTAATGTCCTGGAGCAGTGTTCCACACCCTACTGAGTACTGTGAGAAATTAGAGATTCTGCACCACTGGTTCCTTTGGTTGCCAACTACAATCTGGGCCTATTTCAAACACACACACAGGCACCGAGAGAGCGAGGAAAGGGACAGCAGGGCTGATGACCTTAGCTCCATCTCCAGAGATTCTCACTGAACAACCAGCAAGCTCCTGGTCCTAGCATCCGTAATTTCACACAAGGGCTTTCATGATCTGTCATGATCTTATTTTAAACGAGAAACAACCTATTGACCTGCAGGAGAGAGAGAGACATGTGAGCACCATGTACGTACCAGAGCACAGAGCAGGTCGACGGCCTCCAGCACCAGCTCCTGGTGTCCGATGCGGGCCACACCCAGCTCCTCTAGGTCCTGATGGGAGATCTTCAGCAGCTGCTCCCCGCTGATCTTCTCCCGCTCAAAGTTAGGCACATACTGCTGCAGGCTGTCATCTAGGCCTGGACACAGAGATGGGGAAGGAGAGAACGAGAGTAACTACCTTGATGAGACAAAGAGCACCTATAAGAAATACCTTTTAACATGAAATAACTGTAAAAGCAGTGGTTTTTATGCAGGCCTCTATTACATTGAGTGATACAGAGCCCTACCCACATGAATCTCCCTAAAGACGCAACAGGATCTGTGGAAGTCGGTCTCCCCATGTCTTGACACAAGCCCAGTTCTAATAATGGACCTGATGACATACGGGCAGCTGTGTAGTACACAGACCAATAGCACAGAGAGAGAAACAGGTGCATCAGATCTATCACCAAGATAAACACACCATAAACAGAAGAGCGGTTACGTTCCTAAGTCTGTTGGGCCAGTTAAAGAATGGACGGCTCTTTGTCCGATTACAGTTGGGGGATGTCTCTTAGCTGCTTTTTAAACCCCACACTGTTGGATGAGTTAACTATCACAATCCCAGCCACTTTGCCCACTCAAGGAAAAACAATCCATACTACATTACAGTCACACCTACTAAGGGCTCAGCTGGATCAATTGGTCCAATGCAATGCTGTTTTCATAATTTAACCCCCCCCCCCCCCCCCCCCCCCAAGAGAGCCAAACACAAATGCTTCTTGTTCATAATAAAGCATTTTTTTTTGGGGGGGGGGGGGGGGGGTAAACACCATCTAGTCCATCAATGAGGGCACAGAGAGGGGGCAGCTGCACAGCTATGGCCCTGAGCCCTGGCCCTCTGAATGGCCTGTCAGCTGCACAACCCCCCTGATCCCGACAGATGTACACACACACACACAGGGATGCACACACACAGACGCAGAGACGTGCTGTGAGTATGGCCATCCAAAACCCATCCATTTCTCTATTGACAAGTAGTCAAGGAAAGAGCTTTGGTTTCGTACATTCTTTCCAGTCTACACTGCAGCCATATCAACCACTCTCCATATATGAATTCACTATGTTGAGCATCAAGTGTGTGCAGATGGGGTATGTTCTGTGGTTGGGAGCCATCTTTATGAATGGTACCTCATATTTTCACACCTGTGTGGCATTCAATGTGTGTGTATGGTGTGCTGTTGCTACAGCAACGTGTGTGTGTGTGTGTGTGTGTGTGTGTGTCAGTGTGGTGAATGGCTTAGTGCTGCAGGAGATCCGGTTGCAGATACCAGAACAGACTGTTAATTTGTCTGGACTGCAGAGCAGAGACAGTGGCTCCCAGGACAGACCACAGAGACTGCTGTGCCAATCACATTTCTACTGGATTGCAGCAAGAGTAGCATATGCTGCTGTGACTGTCCCCTTCTCTCACCTCACATACACACTGGCACATTCTGTACAGTCATAGAAACAATTACATTCACATGGGCCTATATTCAAAACGCACCAACACGGAACAGCCAAGTCTTTCACAAAATACTAAATGCTACAAATGTGCAGAAGAATCTCTTTAACAGTCCATTAACTGTGCTTTTTACATGGAAGTTCCTTTTTAACAACCTCTTATAAAACCCCAAAATGATAGAAAGTCTGCAAGGCTTCTGCAAAGGAATCTCAGTGAAATCAAACTGCTCAACTATAACCCATAACGCAACCAGTCAAGTTCACTTACTGTCTAAACATTTTTCACATTCCTGGGTTGAGAATTCCCAGGGCAGACTTTACGCAATTTGGGCTTAATCCCTAAAATGGACTGAGTTTTGGCAGCACAGAGTGAGCTCACTTCAAAGGCCCAGTGGAGGGGAGTATGAGAGGGACCCGGTGAGGGCTGTGCAGCGGAGGGGGACTGAACGCAGCCCAACACAAACACAGCCTCAGCCTCTGACTAGGCCAGCTGCTGGTAATGGGATTAAAGAGAAACAAAAAAGAATGGAAACACAGGCCTAAGGTTTCTCCTTCCTGCATTACCCTCGGCGTGTTAAGAAGGCATTTCCTGTGGAATGATGCCATCCTTCTGTGGAATATCTCTACGGACAAGTTAAGAAGGGGAGAGGGGAAGGCAAACTAAGTTCGGGCTACCAGGCCTGCTCTGGCTTTTCCTTCCCATACTTAAGCAATTCTGAGATTAACTTCTCCTGAACGGCCTAAGGGCCTATTACAAAGCTTTGGGTAGACAAGCAAAACATCTTCCCAAAGGAGAACTTCCCTTCCACCTTCAATACCTACAGTTGAAGTCGGAAGTTTACATACACTTAGGTTGGAGTCATTAAAACTTGTTTCAACCATTCCACAAATTTCTTGTTAACAAACTATAGTTTTGGCAAGTCGGTTAGGACATCTACTTTGTGCATGACACAAGTACTTTTTCCAACAATTGTTTACAGACAGATTATTTCACTTATAATTCACTGTATCACAATTCCAGTGGGTCAGATGTTTACATACACTAAGTTGACTGTGCCTTTAAACAGCTTGGAAATTTCCAGAAAATAGCTTTAGAAGCTTCTGATAGGCTAATTGACATCATTTGAGTCAATTGGAGGTGTACCTGTGGATGTATTTCAAGGCCTACCTCAGAGCCTCTTTGCTTGACATCATGGGTGGTCCTCTGTAGCTCAGCTGGTAGAGCACGGCGCTTGTAACGCCAAGGTAGTGGGTTCGATCCCCGGGACCACCCATACACAAAAATGTATGCACGCATGACTGTAAGTCGCTTTGGATAAAAGCGTCTGCTAAATGGCATATTATATTATATTATGGGAAAATCGAAAGAAAATCAGCAAAGACCTCAGAAAAAAATGTGTAGACCTCCACAAGTCTGGTTCATCCTTGGGAGCAATTTCCAAACGCCTGAAGGTACCACGTTCATCTGTACAAACAATAGTACGCAAGTATAAACACCATGGGACCACGCAGCAGTCATACCGCTCAGGAAGGAGACGTGTTCTGTCTCCTAGAGATTAACATACTTTGGTGCGAAAAGTGCAAATCAATCCCAGAACAACAGCAAAGGACCTTGTGAAGATGCTGGAGGAAACAGATAAAAAAGTATCTATATCCACATAACCTGAAAGGCCGCTCAGCAAGGAAGAAGCCACTGCTCCAAAACCGCCATAAAAAAGCCAGACTACGGTTTGGAGAAATGTCCTCTGGTCTGATGAAACGAAAATAGAACTGTTTGGCCATAATGACCATCGTTATGTTTGGAGGAAAAAAGGGGGGGCTTGCAAGCCGAAGAACACCATCCCAACCATGAAGCACAGGGGTGGCAGCATCATGCTGTGGGGGTGCTTTGCTGCAGTAGGGGCTGGTGCACTTCACAAAATAGATGACATCATGAGCAAGGACAATTATGTGGATATATTGAAGCAACATCTCAAGACATCAGTCAGGAAGTTAAAGCTTGGTCGCAAATGGGTCTTCCAAATGGACAATGACCCCAAGCATACTTCCAAAGTTGTGGCAAAATGGCTTAAGGACAACAAAGTCAAGGTATTGGAGTGGCCATCACAAAGCCCTGACCTCAATCCTATAGAAAATTTGTGGGCAGAACTGAAAAAGCGTGTGCGAGCAAGGAGGCCTACAAACCTGACTCAGTTACACCAGCTCTGTATTGTGGGAAGCTTGTGGAAGGCTACCCGAAACATTTGACCCAAGTTAAACAATTTAAAAGGCAATGCTACCAAATACTAATTGAGTGTATGTAAACTTCTGACCCACTGTGAATGTGATGAAATAAATTAAAGCTTAAATAAATCACTCTCTACTATTATTCTGACATTTCACATTCTTAAAATAAAGTGGTGATCCTAACTGACCTAAGACATGGAATTTTTACTAGGATTAAATGTCAGGAATTGTGAAAAACTGAGTTTAAATGTATTTGGCTAAGGTGTATGTAAACTTCTGACTTCAACTGTATATAAATTGCTTGATTCGTTTAAGTGTTTCTAATTTTCCAAATCCCTCTCCCAGAGCATTGCCATGACTTTGGAATTCTGGGTCAGATCACGGTACGGTCCAACCTGACGAGCCTGGCAGTCTAATTGGGAGAGTTTGAACAAAAGCTGCCACTTCAAAACAGCCTGTGTGTGTGGGGGGACCCAGGACCCGTCCCCTCAATGGGACTAATTGAGAGGGGAGAGAGTGGGAAACATGGGTACCCCCAGTCAGACTACATTATTCCCATAGGAACCACAGACAACATTATCCCAATAGGCATACAAGTCATACTTCATTTATCTCATAGGAACCACAGACAACATTATCCCAATAGGCATACAAGTCATACTTCATTTATCTCATAGGAACCACAGGGTGCATTTTCTCCCAGAGGCTTCAGGGACTCAAAAGGGACAATACCATGATCTCTCTGGCCTGTACTCTTGCCACATCCAGAAGAAAATACGCACTCTCTCACAGAGACCTGATAAAAGTTTATAGAGCGTAGATCAATGGCTACAGGGTGTGTGTGAGAAACTATCAACGTCCATTAAGGACATAAAAACAAGTGAGGGAGGTGGGTGTCACATTGTTGTGAATTGATGAAGGGGGTGGCAGTGGGGGAGTTTGTGAAAGCTCTTCAAAAGGCCAAACCAGGCTGAAACACTTTACAAACGTTTTAACGCTATCCTGAAAACAGCACTTAACATGCACTTAAATGCCAAAGCTGAGATGAAGTGTGAAGCAACATGCAGAAACACAGAAATACAAATTCTGTGTAACAAAAATGTTGTCCATTAAGCCAGGCTTCTCCTCATTTGAACATCTTATGGTCTGAGTGTGCGTAATAGTGACTCCAGCTGAGACTGCAACAATCCAATTGATTAAATGGTCCAGCATAAACATATGGTTCAAGCCAACTCACTGTGTTTTCATTGTAACATAATAGGAGGAAGGTCCGTTTCAAAATACTTTGAGTGATCGATTTTTACAATATAGGGGATGATTAGCAAACGTCGACCTGACGCCCCCAGTCTGTAATTACCCCACCCACTCTGGAGCAGGGGGCTGGATGGACAGGCACCTGCTGTTACTGTGGGGTCCTGCTGCCACCCGCTACACCCATTGATTGGTGCCTGGAACTACACTACATGACCAAAAGTATGTGGACACCTGCTCGTTGAACATCTCATTCCAAAAATTTTATATGGAGTTGGTCCCTCCTTTGCTGCTATAACAGCCTTCACTCTTCTGGGAAGGCTTTCCACTAGATGTTGCAACATTGCTGCGGGGACTTGCTTCCATTCAGCCGCAAGAGCATTAGTGAGGTCGGGCACTGATGTTGGGCGATTAGGCCTGGCTCACAGTCGGCGTTCCAATTCATCCCAAAAGGTGTTCAATGGGGTTGAGGTCAGGGCTCTGTGCAGGCCAGTCAAGTTATTCCACACCAATCTCGACAAACCATTTCTGTATGGACCTCGCTTTGTGCACGGGGGCATTGTCATGCTGAAACAGGAAAGGGCCGTTGTTGCTCCTAGATGTTTCCACTTCACAATAACAGCACTTACAGTTGACCTGGGCAGCTCTAGCAGGGCAGAAATTTGACAAACTGACTTGTTGGAAAGGTGGCATCCTATGACGGTGCCACGTTGAAAGTCACTAAGCTCTTCATTCCACAGTCAATGTTTCCTATGGAGATTGCATGGTTGTGTGTTCGATTTTATACACCTGTCAGCAACGGGTGTGGCTCAAATAGCCGAATCCATAATCCATAATTTGAAGAGGTGTCCACATACTTTTGTATATATTGTGTATGTAGAACAGGTTATCAACACAACAGCTTTAGTCCAAAGTTGACATGAGTTGACGTACAGACATGCAGGATTCTGGACAGCTGGGAAAGCAAAGATCCCAGAGCCAGAGGCTCCGTTTGGACTGTAGAAATGGATCTGGATCACACTGAAGGCCATGGAACTGCAGCCTCCTTAAGGCTAAAAGCACAGGTTTTTGGCAATGTAAACAGTGAGTCTATCCTCTCGGCCTATAACGGCCTGGCTAGTCCTCTGATAATCCTAACATTTCCTGGTTCACATCCGTACAGAAGCACTAAAAACCGCAGGTTTCCTTTCAGTAGCCAGAATATGACAGTACAGGGAGAATCGAGGAATGACCAGGCGATTCCGACATTGGAAATGCTCTGAAGTAGAGACAAAAACAAAAGTCTAGCTGTCATTATACTGCAAGACATTTAGAAGCAGATGTCATGTGTAAGGTAATTTACTGTAGGCTACAATGAGAGCAGGAAGTAAATCTGAATACCTTAGAGTGTGTGTCCTATTACAGAAGACCACACAAACATGCAATTAGATAATCCAGGTCTTGTCCTTACAGGCCCAGTGCAGTCAAAAACATGATTTCCACACTACGAGGATGGAATAATACTGTGAAATTGTGAAAATTATGATGATGCACTTTTAGTGTAAGAGCTCTTTGAAAAGACCACCTGAAATTTCAGCCTGTTTTGGTGGGATGGCGCTTTGGCCTGCTTGGTGACATTACCAGGCGGTAAATTAGTTAATAACCAATAAGAGTTCCAAACCTCTCTGCTAATATCAGCTATTTTTCAAATTTCCCCTTCCCACTGAGACCACTCCCAGACAGTCCTAGCAAAATTCTTGCTTTAGAAATTGCTCTTTGCTAAGAAGCTATTTTTGCTTCTTTTTTAGCATTTTAATTGAAAACAAATCACAATAAGGTACTTAATTGTTACCCAGAAATTATTTGATATTGAGATAAAAATGGCTGTATTGGACCTTTAAGTCTCTTTCTTCTCTGAAGCAGACCTGCAGACCTTGATCATATCACTGGTAAATCCTACATAATTGATTATGTGCTGCAGCTTTAGGATGATCTGCACATCTGTTCCTTCCAACAGTATACGAACACACTGGTACATGCTCACATGCATGTTCACACACACACCCACCCCCCTCCTCCTCCTCTCTCTCTCTCTCTCCCAACACCAGTCTCACATCCGCCACCAGGCACAGTGTATAGACTCAAGCAGACCTAGCTTGGGTTCTCAGGGGTTTGATTACATGGAAGAGAACACACTCTCACCTCCCACCGAAAGAAAGAGCCTGCCCTCCTCCTCCTCCTCCCCCCCCCCCCCCCCCCCGCCTCCCCTCTCAGTTTTCCCAGTGGGGGCCCTGGCCATCTGCCCCCTCCCCATTCTATCCCTGGTCCTACCCTGCCAGGGCTGGACAGTGGGAAAGCTGCTGGGTGTACAATAACAGGGCCACTGTAACTCTTCGTCTTCTTATTTAGCTTGGCAAACCCGTGGGGAATCTGAGGAATTCAGCCATTGTTCTCAGGAGGAGTTCCATTGTGGGAATTCCAGCACAATGGCTGTGGCCAGCCTGGGCTGTAATTAGAAGGAAAAAAACAGAGACAGACTGCTAAGCTTTCCTCTGATGCATGACTTCTCATCACAGGAGCAAAAACAAAACCCATACAAAACACAGTGGCCAGTGTGAAAGGCACAGTTGAGCAACAACAGTACCATCCCCACTGAGCATCTAACCCCAACTGTGCATGTTGAGCTTTTATAAGCTATATCACTTTTTCCCCCAGTGCTATAAGGAATACTTGTGGGTAGGACTGTCCATGTGTACATTCTGACCTCATGGCCCATCTTGTTTACTGTCTACAGTGCATTTTGTTAAGTTACAGCCTTACTCTAAAATTGATTAAATTACTTTTTCCTCATCAACCTACACACAATACCCCATAATGACAAAGTGAAAACAGGTTTATATACATTTTTGCAAATGTATAAAATAAAATTAACAGAAATACCTTCTTTACATAAGTATTCAGACCCTTTGCTATGAGACTCAAACTTGAGCTCAGGTGCATCCTGTTTCCATTGATCATCCTACAACTTGATTGGACTCCACCTGTGGTAAATTAAATTGATTGGAAAGGCACACACCTGTCTATATAAAGGTCCCACAGTTGGCAGTGCATGTCAGAGCAAAAACCAAGTCATGAGGTCGAAGGAATTGTCCGTAGTGCTCCGAGACAGGATTGTGTCGAGGCACAGATCTGGGGAATGGTACCAAAGAAATGTCTGCAGCATTGAAGGTCCCCCAAGAACACAGTGGCCTTCATCATTCTTAAATTTAAGAACTTTGGAACCACCAAGACTCTTCCTAGAGCTGGCCGCCCGGCCAAACTGAGCAATCGGGGAGAAGGGCCTTGGTCAGGGAGGTGACCAAGAACCCGATGGTCACTCTGATAGAGCTCCAGAGTTCCTCTGTGGAGATGGGAGAACCTTCCAGGAGGACAACCATCTCTGCAGCACTCCACCAAACAGGCCTTTATGGTAGAGTGGCCAGACGGAAGCCACTCCTCAGTACAAGGCACATGACAGCCCACTTGGGGTTTGCCAAAAGGCACCTAAAGGACTCTCAGACCAAGAGAAACAAGATTATCTGGTCTGATGAAACCAAGATTGAACTCTTTGCCAAGTGTCACGTCTGGAGGAAACCTGTCACCATCCCTACGGTGAAGCATTGTGGTGGCAGCATCATGTTGAGGGGATGTTTTTCAGCGGCATGGACTGGGAGACTAGTCAGGATCGAGGGAAAGATGAACGGAGCAAAGTACAGAGAGATCCTTGATGAAAACCTGCTCCAGAGTGCTCATGACCTCAGACTTGGGCAAAGGTTCACTTTCCAACAGGACAACGACCCTAAGCACACAGCCAAGACAACGCAGGAGTGTCTTCGAGCCAAGTCTCTGAATGTCCTTGAGTGACCCAGCCAGAGCTCGGACTTGAACCCGATCGAACATCTCTGGAGAGACCTGTAAAATAGCTGTGCAGTGATGCTCCCCATCCAACCTGACAGAGCTTGAGAGGATCTGCAGAGAAGAATGGGAGAAACACCCCAGATACAGGTTTGCCAAGCTTGTAGCGTCATACTCAAGAAGACTCGAGATTGTAATCGCTGCCAAAGGCGCTTCAACAAAGTCCTGCTCAAAGGCTCTGAATACTTATGTAAATGTCATATTTCCGTTTTATTTTTTTAACAACTGTTTTTGCTCTTTCATTATGGGGTATTGTGTGTAGATTGAGGAGGGAAAAAGCAATTTAATCAATTTTACAATAAAGCTTTAACCTAACACAATGTGGAAAAAGTCAAGGGGTCTGAATACACTGTATATGCCTTGAAGTTGTCCCGAATTTGCTGTTGGTGAGGTTATCATCAGCTGATCTGTTGGTGTGTTTCTGTAGGCTATTTGTGTTGGGTCCTTGAGTTTAACAAAGTGTAATTTTGCCTTGCAGGGCCCATCTTGAACAGAGATGACACTTTTAACCAGGGTCTCCAACATTACAAAAAAAAGAGTCTGTCGAGAGGAGATAGACGATGACTGATAAGGGAGCACTACTGGCTTGTGTTAAGCAGATCAACAGCCTGGCTCTAGCTGTAGGTTCCAGCCAACTTCAGTCACACTGGGGATACCTCACTCAGTCAGCAGCTAATGAGAGAAGGAAGTGAGATACTGACAGAGGTTGAGGAGATGAGTTTCTATGGCTGTGGGGGGAAAGGAAGGGGAGTTTAGACCTGTGGATGTACTCGCTGACCTGCAGGCATGTGACAAAGATCGACAGAACGATACATAGACAGAGAAAGAGACCGAGGGGAGAAAAAAAGAGTGAACAGAAAGTCCCACAGGAAACCTCCCTGACAGTCACTCCTGGCTAGTCCCCAAGCACCGAACATGTCAGTCACCTCCAAGTTTCAACAGTACACATAACGGAAAGACCAGTTCTGGGTGGCTGAGTTTGTTCCTGTCCTCCTATGAAGTCCTTTTTCACAGCTCTGGCTGCCCCTGCATTGGCTCGTGTACAACATTCAGAGGACATACACGGCAACGGCAGTTCTATGGGCATTCTTATTCATTGAGGTCTGGAGCAGCAGCTGTGCGTAATGCTGGTGGTTTTAGAACTACCTCTCACCCTTACATAAACACTCATCACTCTGCAGCCAGCCAGCTAGCCACGCTGCTCATAAACCTCACACAAACAACCGCTAAAGAGAGTAACAAAGAGCCACCAAAATGTCTGAAAAACTCTGTTGCTCCACAACCCCTCAGCTTGTCTTTTACCTGGCCCTCCAGGCTCATATTATTGTAGGTCTGTCCTAGGACAGCCAAAGTCTTTGTGCGACTAACACACCTCCCAGAGTTTGCCAGTCACTTGAAAAACAGTTTTGACTATGTCAACTACTACTTAAACCTCAGCCTCTACTATGTCAACTTCTATACCATTACTACATCTCTGCAGGCTAAACCATAATTGCAGTCCTTCTGAGGTTGTCTCTTCAGTTTTCACAGAGAGAAAAAAACGCCACGGCTCATCCCAGCGAGGCAGAGGACACCTACACCAGGCTCATACTGTAGATATGTCAAGGAGGTTTTCCTAACGATGAAACCTGACCAAGGGAAAACTCCTGACCCTACTCAGACAGCCATAGACTGCCTGTACAGTGTAGTGAACGGAGAACAGTGGCCTCTTCTCTCCATGTCTGGTGTATGATCATGGTGGCCTGGTATGCTGATTACAGGCTAGTTTAATAGGTCTGTCTTGGAAGCCAACAGAAACCACAACAAGGGAGAAACGTGCACCGCTCATTTAGGTGGTTATAGACAAACCACATTTCTATGGGAACCGTATATGGTTCAGTCTCAAACAAAAGACACTTGTGAAGATATCAGCTGCCATTGATGAAATGGGGGAGGGGGAAGAGGGGAGAGAATGGACATCCTGTTTGGAAAGATTTACAGCCTACACGCATCTAGGTCAGGGATGGAGGAGACGAGGGTCAAAGGGATTGAGCATTGTTACTCTGTCCACTGAAGACCATATAGTCATCAGCACACACACAGGACAGAAAACGTCATGTCATTAAACACACATAACAAGCAATATGCTGACAATCAACACACCACAATGATGTGCTGTATCGCTTTCATTTAAATTTCACAGCTTACTCGCTGTACATTAGAAATGAATAGAATGAACATTTGAATGTAATATGAGTCCCGACAGCTAGCGCTCAGATCCTTCGGAACAGAGAGAGATGAGTCTAACCTGTTTTCTGTGTGGGAGAGACTGATGGTGAGTCATCTTCAGTGGGATGCTATCTGTGAGTGACAGCGTGACCAGCCAGTGTGACACACACAGGGCACGACACAGACAGACATCCACCCCACTGCCAGGCAGTGGCACAGCACCGACTCCTTCTCTGCCATGTTAATGACATACCTGTGTCTCACTCTCTCTCTCTCTCTCTGATACACAATGTGTTTCTGGATCTCTTATGATGCATTTGAGTGACACACAAAGAGAAGGGAAGAACTCCCACAAATCATTAATGATCTACTATTTCCTTCTGGCAGTGGAACAGTAACACGGCAATCTTTTTTCTTTTTTTTTACCACAAAACGCACCCTTTTCATTTCCAGGTGTGCTTCTCTTGTTTGAACCTTTCTACACACCTGTTGTGTGTCTCTCAACACTATCATGACAGAACAAAAATGAGTAACAGATTATTGGAAATTAAACCCACAGTAATTCTCTGTCAACGTGAATTTACTATTGACTGGGACTTGGTCTAAAATGGGACTTAGCAAACAGAAGTAGAGGTGGTAAAAAGAGTCAGCTTTTCCCAGTGAGCACCAATGAAAGGAAAACACAGCATCTCCCATGATGCTCCCTGTTTCCCAGACTCTTTGGGAGATTCTCAATTGGGAAAAAGTCAGTCCTCTCCTCGACTCATCCGTGACCCAGTAACCGATTAGTGGTCAATGTCACGCCCTGGCTCTAGGGACTCTTTTATGTTGAGCCAGGGTGTGTAGAGTCTATGTTTTGTGCTCTTTGTTTTCCATTCTAGGTCTTGTATTTCTATGTTGGCCAGAGTGGTTCCCAATCAGAGGCAACGAGTGTCAGCTGTTGCTGGTTGTCTCTGATTGGGAACCATATTTAAACAGTCTGTTTTCCCTCAGTGTTGGTGGGATCTTGTTCCGTGTTCCTAGTAGGTTGTGTTTGTGCTAAGGACGTCACGTTATCGTTTTGTTCGTGTTATCTTTCAGATTTAATAAATATATGTTTGCATTCAACGCTGCGCATTGGTCCTCTGTTCCCGATGATCGTGACAGAAGATC